GGTGTGGTAATCCAGGGATCAAATGCCGATAAGCAGAATAGCTAATGCTGTGATTCGCAACAAAATCAACCTGACAGCTATGTAGAATGTTTGCGCAGGGAGGCAGCCCTGTGCGGGGTCCTGGGAGAGCATGCATTTCCTGCAGTGCACTTCATAGACAGAGCAGCAGCAGCAGCAGCCTGTACAGACCTCAGTCAGCAGGAACATAGAATTTACAGCTAGACTGGAAATGAATAAGCTGTGGTCTCTAGCAAGCACTGGTTGTGTACGCCTCTGTCCCACCAGGACTTGGTGGGTCTGGAGTATGGCGCCAGCAGATCCCCTCACTCACTGTCCTATGATAGTAAGGAGAGAGCACCTCATCCTGTAGTAGCTAGCTCTCTGACGCCCCTGAGCTCATTGTGTAGACCAGGCCTGCCTCTCTGCCTTTGGGGCTAAAGGCATGTGCCACCCATTCCTAGCTAAGATTTTGTTTTGAAAATAATTTTCTTTTCAAGTGTATATTGTGGATATGTTGACTCTTAGAGATACAGGGGTATCCTTGCTGTCTTGTCCTCCAGGACTTTGGGTCTTGCCTCGGCTTCCTGAGTGCGGGAATTACAGGCCTGCACGGCCATTACTGTCAAATGCACGTTTGTCATGTCTTTGGGGGTGGATAAAAAACATTGTTAATTTTCCAAAACACACTTATTTTATTTTTTTGTGAGACAGGGTTTCTCTGGGTAGCCGTGGCTGTCCTGGAACTAGCTCTGTAGACCAGACTGGCCTTGAACTCACAGAGATCCACCTGACACTATGCCGGGCCCAAAACACAGTCTTGAAGTGTTGCTGTGGAGCCTGCTTTAGAATTGAATTGCATGTTGTGGTGGACTGGTGAGGTTACACTGTATGTTAGGCCTGTGCTAACCATCCTGAGCTGGCTCAGATGATGTTCACAGCTGTCCTGTAAGCTCAGACTGCTTGAGAAAACTGGACAAAGACACAATTCTAGAAAGCACCAGAAGTAGATCTGCTTTACTACTAAGAAGTGTGGGCAGAAATTTAGGAAATACCTTCTGAGAATCATCTCTGAACTCCAAAATGAAAGGATGGGCCGTCTAGGAAGGTGCTAAGTGCTGGTTTTGTTTGAAGTAAGACAGAACAAGAGCTGGAAGTAGTGGCACACACACGCCTTTAATCCCAGTACTTGGGGGGCAGAGGCAGAGACAGAGACAGGCCATATCTCTGTGAGTTCAGGGCTCATAATTCCAGCATGTGAGAAGTTGGGACAAGGAATGCCAGCCTGGTCTACAGAGTAAGACCATATTATTGTATTGGGAATTGGTCTTCAGGAATTTTATTTTCATCTTTGTGGTTACCAAAGGAAATTAATTTCTAAGGTTAATTTTTGGAGAGTAATCTGATTGCTGGTGTTCCATTGTCCTGGTCAGTCTTCAATTTTTTTTTAAAGTTTTGTTTGCTCTTTTGAACAAACCAAGCACCATCTTTCATTTCCTTTTGAATAGTTGTAAAGTTGTTACATGGATGGAATATGGATATGTCCTTTATGAATTTTCTTAGAATTGAAGTAAACTCAAAAGTGTTTCTGAGCTCTAACTGTAGAGAGTAGTCAACTATCTGAGCCATTTTCCTCTGGTTCCGTATGCCGTCTTCTCTGGCACTCCGTCCTTGCTAACACCACTGTCTATCAGTCCCAGACAGTGGGCTTCAATCCCTGAGGTACTGTTTATAAATGCTGTGTTTGGAGATCAAGGGGTGGAAATGATCCATCTCCAGGTGATGCTAGGAAAACTTTCAGGAAAGACTAGATACCCACCAATGAAAGAGACTTTTAATGGGGAAGTGGCAGGTGGTTAGTAAGTTGGATCACCACTGTAGAGTTAAATTGTTTTCTTTTTCATAGACTGTATTGGGGGTGTCAGAGTCTTCTATTTGTAGATGAAAAGGAAAATCTAATGACCGTAGGAGGTATAGTTGACATGGAATATATTGACTCAACAGATCCATATTTGAATATACTCCTTAACCTCCCCCAATTTCCTATTTATAGTAAACGTAATTAGGTTAGTTCTACATCATTATCTTCAGAAGTTTTTGTTTTCCTTTCTGTTGTTTTTGTTTTGTTCTTTGAGACGGGGTTTCTCTGTGTGACAGTCCTGGATCCTGCCTTGTAGTCCAGGCAAGCCTCAAACTCACAGAGATCAGCCTGCCTCTGCCTCCAAGTATTGGGATCATAGGGGTGCCCCACCAACACCCAGTTTCCCGCATATATCTTAAAGAACATTGCTCAGTAGTAATATAAGATCTTCTTACTCAGTTATATTTTGGTCTGTGTTGAATATAGTTTCTTTGAGGTGCTTTACATTCATCCTGTTTGCTACAAGTAACCACATGTAACTTGAGCAGCATAGTGTTAACATCTCAGAATTGCCTATGTGTACCCTTTGAAGGAGGAATTGTGGCCTGGAGAAGATGGTATTAGGATCCAGATTTTCCTAGAAGCTTGTTGATTCTCTCCTAGAGATGCCCTGTTGGTTGCTTTGTTGATTTTTTTTAATAAGATCTATCTTGAGCTCAGTCCCAGACCATTAATGTTAGCTCCCTAAAGTACTGATGGCATTTTTAATTGAGTTGCAGTTTGAATTAATACTAACAAGTGAATTTTCATAATTTATTTTAAAAAAGTGTGTTGTAGGAAATTTAGAGTTGAGTAGTACATAAACGTGTGTTAGTAACCATTCTGATTTTTTTTTTTTAAGATTGCAGCAAAAATTGGAGGTGATGCTGGTACATCATTGAATTCAAATGACTATGGTTATGGGGGACAAAAGAGACCCTTAGAAGATGGAGGTAAGTTATAGCCTGAAATAATTTATCAAAATGCTACTATATATTGGTCCTAGAAGGAAAGGGGGAAAAGATAGACCCAGAAAAAAGGTAGGTTATAATTTGAGTCTAGCAGAAAGTACTGCAATAGAAAACAGTTTAATTTTTTCCTGTTTTAGGATTATGCTTAGAGTTTGTATAGATTTCATGTTAATGCTAAAAACAATAATATAAATTATTTAGGAAACACTGTCATGAGTTTTCTCAATTATGGATGTTTTTGATGTTCATTTACTTCAAAATTCACTTTAAAGGATAATGTTTGGTGCAGGTTTCCCATTTTTATTTTAGTGTTTTGTTTTATGTTTCAGATTTAACTGTAAACATGGAGTAAAGGTGCATTTGTAGCGCTTTTTATTTTTAAAAAGTATTGACACTTGTGCACTTAGTGTGCTTTTTGTTTTAGTTCTGATGGATGTATAAATTTTGATGCTCTATTTTGCCCTTTTTATGAAGGATTCTGATTGAGCATGTAGAAATGTATTGGTAGCCCTCGTGGAACTACTTGATTTCCTTTTAAGTACATTTATATTTGCAAGTGAGGTTTTTAATGTGCAAGAAAAATGAGCTAATGATGCTTCAGATGTTGTGTGTAATGTATTCTTTTTATTTTATGTGTAGATGGCTCTTGGACAAATCCGAGCAGTACAGCACACTGGGAGGGAATGCCCTCTCCTTTTAAAGGCAGGAATTTTTATTTATTACCTGTGTTCAGTATGTAACCGTGAAATAAACAAGCCAGTGGACTCTTAAGTGGACACGACTGTCTCTTGGTTTAAGTGTCTGAATTTTTGCTACACAAAACCCTTGAACTGGGAGTAGTGACCGTGCTTTGAGCTGTAGGTTGTCTGTTCTAGTGTTGTGTGCATTTGTTTATTTGAGAAAGGCACTTATGCAGTTTGCTTTGAGTTTTTGTTTTTTGCTAAGCTCATGTAGTGAAATGTTTCATGTGGGGATGATACAACAGTTTAGATTGAAACCCTCCTGTAATGCAAGCTTTCCTTTCTGGTAAAGCTTTGTCATCAATGTCAGATACACTCGTGTTTTGATATGTCAGTTTTTTATATAGTTTCCCTCAATTGTCAGTTCTTACAGTAGAAGAAGCATCATTAGCTTTTAGCATGTGGTATCTGCCAACATTTAAGCTAAGTACTCTGGTCTTTCATCATTCTAAGCCATTTTAAATGTCAGTGTATTGTTTAGACAGGAAGAGAATGAATGAAATTAGGTTTGTGGGTTTGTTTTTTTTTTTTTTTTTTTAGGATTTGGGATCTAGGTTGAATTATGGCAATTTTGGTTCAAGTGGAAAACCATATCAGCTACTTTTAATAAACCATTGGCATTCTTGCTTGGGGGGGGGGCTTTGTTTTCAATTGACAAACAATAAAAGGCATTTAATTTTGCAGATCAACCAGAAGCTAAAAAAGTTGCTCCTCAAAATGACTGTAAGTATTTTAAGCTGAGGTTTTGTTGCTACTTTTAAAAACATTTATATATAAAATTGTGTGTGGGGACCCAGAGACCAGAAGATAGCACAGGAATTCCCTCCAAGTTGAGCTGTGTAGTTACAAGCCACCTTGTGGGTGCTATGGACAGCAAGAGCAGTGTGTGCTGTTGCCCCTTGAACTGACTCTTCAGCCAGTTGTTCCTGCTCTTGATGGGTTGTGGGGTTTTGGTGTTGGAAATTTTGTTTTTGAGCCAGATAGGACCCTAACTGGCTTTGACCTGCTTCTATGTCCGTCCCCTGTGCTAGGATTAAAGGTGTGCCTTGCTACAGCCAGCAGGGTAGGAATTAAGAAGGTCTAGTTAGGATTTGCCTTTTTCTTTTTAAAATAATGGTTGTCTTTTGATTGTGGCCATGCATATGTAACATTGATTGATGAAATTATGTATATAATTTGATTACTCCAAATCTTATGCATGTGCCACTTGAAAGAGAGGTGTTTTGTATGCCATTACTAGTATATTTATCCCTTTCTTGCCACCATCAGTGGTGATTTGAATAGTCTGAAATTATTCTCTCCAGGGAAAGAATTTAGAATACTTGGTGTGCTTGTGTTAAGTAAACTTGAACTTTGATTTTTTTTTTTTTCATTATTTTTTTTAGCTTTTGGAGCACAGTTACCTCCGATGCATCAGCAGCAAAGGTACAATCAAAACTTTACTTTGCGTGTTTATAACCAAGTTAGTTTATATATTTTGTATGTGTGGTTAATTTCTGTCCTGTTGGAAAGATGATGTAGAATCATTATTTTCTTTGAGAGTAAGATATTAGTGATTGGGGAAATAGGATGAAATGACACCTTTTAGAAAAAAGAGGGTAAAGTCAATTAAGTGGCATTCACTCTGAACTCTTCCCGTGGGTCTTCAGTGCTCTGTCTTGCTCACTTGTGTGTGCCCCCTCATTGAAGACCTGGGAGACACTAAGATTGGATTCATTAGATTACCTCTATATACAAGCACACATTATCTTTCTTTGAAGAAAACACTAGTTTCTGTCATTTCTTAGCAGATCGGTAATGACAGAAGAATACAAAGTTCCAGATGGAATGGTTGGATTTAGTAAGTAACATAATTTTTAAGTTTTTAAAGCATAAACCATGCTTTAGAAATTTAGAGTAAATAGTAACTTTTCCTTTCTCCTCCTCAACTAGTAATTGGCAGAGGAGGTGAACAGATCTCTCGCATACAGCAGGAATCTGGATGCAAAATACAGATAGCTCCTGGTAACGTTACTTGTCTCGTTCGTGTGCGTGTGCGTGTGTGTGTGTGTTCCGCCTCCTTTTGTCTAGCCCTTAAAGTTTTTTTTGAGAGTGGCTAGAAAACTTCAGTTTTTTATTTTGATTTATGTTTCTAAAGATGATGATGCCACTTATAATGTATTTTTGACCTAAACTTTTCTTTTTAATTGCAGATAGTGGTGGCCTTCCAGAAAGGTCTTGTATGCTAACTGGAACACCTGAATCTGTCCAGTAAGTTCGAAAATGTTACATCTACTCAGAGTAACCATGTGAAGACTAATGTTTGTGTTTTCATTATTTCTCCACCATTGTCTTCTGCTGATAGCCTTGAAAGTTTATGTATCATGCCTGTCTTGGGTAGGGTTCATCATCTAAACCTAAGACACAGAATTGTTACAAAGCAGGGACTGAGGTGAAACAGACATCCAGGTGCTTGCCTTCCACGTAAGAAGAACTGAGTTTGAGCCTAAGAGTTAAAACCAAAGCACTTGGTGTGGTAATAATGAGCTTGTAATCTCAGGGTTGCTCAAAGGTTGGAAACATGCAGTTTTGGGGGACTTGGTAGCCAGCCAGCATACACTGCTTGATGGGTTCAAGACTATTGAGAAGACCCTATCTCAAAAGGAGCATATTATACAAAGAAGGGTTGTGATTTGGCCTACACACAGTGCACAAACACAGGAAATGACTAAAACCTGAATTGGCTTACACACAGATGAGTCTAACCAATCTTCTTCAACAGTCGTCTTTGATTTGGGTCTTTAGTTTGTTTCTTTGTTCTGTTTTTTTTTTTTTTTTTTGGTAGTTTTCACAGTATAGCCCTGGCTGTCCTGGAACTCCCTCTGTAGGCTGGTCTTGAACCCTCAGGGATCTGCCTAACTGCTTCCCAAAGGCATGGGCCACCACTGCCCAGCACCTCCTCTCAGTGTCTTAGTTACTTCTGTTGCTGTGGCAAAAAACACCATGACCAAGACAGGCGACTTAGAAAAGACAGTATTGCCTCGTACTGCACTAAAATGTTATTAACAGCCTTCCTTTGTGTTCTTTTCTCTGGTATTGAGACACTGCTTCCATTTGTGTTCATTTGCCTAAACCATTCCTTCCTACTTGAAGACTTTTATCCCTATAACTGCATTACTATATTTGGTTTAGAGTCACTTTATCACTGCCCCATTTTTACAATTTTTCCTGCCTTTCAACATATAAATGCATCCAAATTTGACTTTTATGTTGCATTTTTGGGTAAGGTTGGTTACACTACACGTTTTTATTTGAATATTCATCTGTTAACAGGTCAGCAAAAAGATTACTGGACCAGATTGTTGAAAAGGGAAGACCGGCCCCTGGCTTTCATCATGGCGATGGACCCGGAAATGCAGTTCAGGAAATCATGATTCCTGCCAGCAAGGCGGGACTCGTTATTGGAAAGGGGGGAGAAACTATTAAACAACTTCAGGTGCTGTTATTTTGTAAAAAACTATTATTAAATCTTTTAAACTGACTTACTACCTTTTGTTAACTTGTTATATTCATGGTTTTAATAGGAACGTGCTGGAGTTAAAATGGTTATGATTCAAGATGGGCCTCAAAATACTGGTGCTGACAAACCTCTTAGGATCACTGGTGACCCGTACAAAGTTCAGGTGAATCTCACTTTGTCATTTATTTTCAAAAACATCTGATGGGGTGGGCAAATGTTTTGAGAGTTTTTCTAAATTGGTTAACTTTGTATTTTAGCAAGCCAAGGAAATGGTATTGGAGCTAATTCGTGATCAAGGTGGTTTCAGAGAAGTTCGGAATGAGTATGGTTCAAGAATAGGAGGAAATGAAGGGATAGATGTAAGTGAACCCGGAATCAGGAGTGGCTGTACCCTAATCCGTAGTGCGGCAGGCTGACATTGGATGTCCTTTTCCCGGTTTCTTATCTTGTTACTATTTGACATGATCGTTTACTATATTTGCTTTTATGATTTGATGGAGATGAATTTTGAGAAATGACTTTATATATGTATATATATATACTTCATCTTTTACTTGCCTAAGGTCCCAATTCCAAGATTTGCTGTTGGCATTGTCATAGGAAGAAATGGAGAAATGATTAAAAAAATACAAAATGATGCTGGTGTTCGAATACAGTTTAAGCCAGGTTAGTAAGGTATATTTAATGTTTTGAGAATTGATAGCTGTTAATCTATCACTCATAATGGGTTTGTGACAATTGATTGTTTCCTTGTTTTTGTAGATGATGGAACAACACCAGATAGGATAGCACAGATAACAGGACCTCCAGACAGATGTCAGCATGCTGCGGAGATTATCACAGACCTTCTACGTAGTGTTCAGGTTTGATGGAAGTTTTTATCATACCTGAAAAGTAACCCTCCACATTTTATCAGAATCCATTGATTTTTTTTTTTTTTAATTAAAATGGCTAAACACAATTCTGTGAAAAGATAGGGTTTCTGTGTGTAGCCCTAGCTACCTCAGAAACCCTAAATAAATAAAAGGAAGTTAAGTTCATAATTTCATTGCTGAGAAATATGCAAGTTGGGAAATGCCTTGTAAAATTATCAGAGTTTTTGTTCATTTTGGTTGTTTGCTTTTCCTTCCTCAGGCTGGTAATCCTGGTGGACCTGGACCTGGTGGTAGAGGACGAGGTAGAGGTCAGGGCAACTGGAATATGGGACCACCTGGTGGACTGCAGGAGTTTAATTTCATTGTGCCAACTGGGAAAACTGGATTGATAATTGGAAAAGGCAATGTATTTTAAATTCTTTGTTTAACATAGCTGAGTTTTCTGGACTCTTGTAAGCAAATAGTATCAATTTATTTTTATTTTTGGAAGTAGTTTAGTAAGAAAGGTATCGTAATCTTTATGTTAAAATGGCTCACATTAGGGTGTATATATATTTAAGTAGACCTTAATGTATTCAGTATGAGTTGTAGATGGAAGAACAGTAGATAATCCTAATAAATTACTGTCCAGTGGAATGCTACCAAGCTTTATCTAATGGCCAAATTAAATAGGTGCTTTTTTACTTATTTTGGTTTTCTCTGTGTAGCTTTGAGCCTTTCCTGGCACTCGCTTTGTAGATCTGGCTCAGGCCTTGAACTCACAGAGATCCGCCTGCCTCTACCTCCTGAGTGCTGGGATTAAAGGCGTGAGCCACCAACGCCTGGTGCGTTTAAAAATGTAGTATTTCTTACATTCTTTGAACTGTAGAGAAGTTAGTGTCTTGATTTATTTATTTTTTTAGGAGGTGAAACTATAAAAAGCATAAGCCAGCAATCTGGCGCAAGAATAGAGCTTCAGAGAAACCCTCCACCTAACGCAGACCCTAATATGAAGCTTTTTACAATTCGTGGCACTCCACAGCAGATAGACTATGCTCGGCAACTCATAGAAGAGAAGATTGGGGTGAGTAAACTTCTCGTTTGTAACATAGTTCCTGGTGCCTTTATAAAAGTGTGAATTCAACTGTGCCATGGGAAAACGGACACTTTGTAATCTGAGTTCAGGTTTTAAGGCACAGCATGTGTGCATGTAACAACATAGGAAAGATGCCCAGAAGTACAGGTAACCTGGTGAAGCATGAGTTACAAGTCTGTGAGGACAGCCGCCACCTCACAGTTACAGGAAACTACCCATCTCCACTCAGTAAAAATAGTGATGAAGATGTTTGTCTCCCATTCTACTGAAGGAACTTATAATTTCTGGCTTTTGGAACGACTGCCTGCCAATCATTAGAGGTCTGAAATGTGGGCTTGGTTTGATGGTTTGTTCTTCTGGAGTTCCTTGGTCATCTAGCCCAGCAAAGTTAATGAGCTTCCTGTTCACTTAGACCATAAAGGGAGAGACCAGTCAGTGAAAGACCTGGGGTCTGTGGATCCTGATTTCCTTAAGCACCTGCCCCTGACACTCACATGAAGTGAAGTAGAATAGAGCCCAGCCTCTGTTGTCACACACATGTCTACCTGGATCCCAGAAGGCGGAAGGTAGAGGCTACACAGAAACTCTGTCTCCATAAAACAAAAGCAAGGATGTTTCAAGTGATTTTGATACATGGTCAATTTTGTGAAGTTTTCTGGGGGTGCACCTTGACCATGGTGGCTTTATAATGAAGCAAATAGTGTTTGACTGAGCGCTTTGTTTTTTTTTGGGGGGGGGGTCCGAGACACGGTTTCTCTGTAGCTTTGGAGGCTGTCCTGGAACTAGCTCTTGTAGACCATGCTGGTCTCGAACTCACAGAGATCCACCTGCCTTCCGAGTACTGGGATTAAAGGTGTGAGCCACCACCACCCGGCTTGACTGAGCGTTTTTATAGCAGTGGGGAAAATGTGAGGGCTCTTTAAGTTACTGCTAATGCTGTGGGTGTATATATATGGGCAGTGCAGATGAGACATGAGGTATTTAAATAGGACATGGGTGGGAAGGGTAGTACAGGTTCAATTGGATAGACACACAGTTGTAATTGTTCATAAACTGAAGGTGTTTGCAAGCTAAGCAATTCCAAAAGTTGACACCAGAGTAGAAAGATGAGAGTAAGCACGTTTGAATTCAGAGATCTACCTGCCTTAGAGACATACACCACTATCCCAAGCTGATCTTCTTAGCCTCATAGACCCAGATCAGGGTTTGTTACATCATTGGGAAATAATACTGGAGAAGTATTTTGTGGGGCTATAGAGATGGCACAACAGTTAAAAGCACTTAGAGCCAGATTGAGTTCCCTGTAAGAGAGCCTGTAACAATGGCACCAGAGCATCTGGTACTCTTTCAGATTGGTTTGATTGATTGATATATAGTATTCTGCCTGTGTGTGTGCCTGCCTTTGAGCCAAAAAGTGGCACCAGATCTCATTATAGACCATTGTGAACCACCATGTGGGTGCTGGGAATTGAACTCAGGACCTCTGGAATCTGGTAGAGCAGCCACTGCTCTTAACTTCTGAACCATCTCTCCAGCCCTTAAAAATAATTTTTAAAAATTGTAAGCAATTTGTTCAAAGTGTTGATATTAACTGGAGAAAAAAAAAAAAGATGTTTTAGGACATCTTGTAAGTTTTACAGGGTGGCCTACCACAGGCACATGTTTTTTAAGTCCAGCCTGGCCTACATAGTGAGTTCAGGGTCAGCAAAAGCTACATAGTGAGACCCTATTTCCAAATAAGGGAGGAAAGTGGTAAAAAGTTTTGTGATAAGCTTATAGAATAACCCTAATGTGTTGTATGCTATTTAGAAAGCTAGGATGGGCACAGCATGAGGACAGTATTTTAAATTATTGCTTTAAATGGAATTCCTGTGACAGAAGAATTCAGGGAGACTTACCTGGGAAATACATGATAGCCTGACATTAGGAAAGTAAAAGAACTAGGCAGTCTTATATAAAAAGAACGTTAAAAAAAAAAAAAAACATTGTTTGAAAAGGAGTAAGAGCTAAAGGGAATTTACTAGTTCTCTATTTTAGTGAATTTTACATGTCCATAATCTTGACTTTTTTTTTTTTTAACCATAAAGAGGGGAAGGTACATTTAAACTTTCTTAAGAGTAGTTGGCCTTTGAGTTGCTCAGTCATTACACTGTTTAAGTGTATCTTGTATGTTTTGTGTCTTTCTTTATTATTGTTTCTTTTCTTTTTGCAGGGCCCAGTAAATCCTTTAGGGCCACCTGTACCCCATGGGCCCCATGGGGTTCCAGGTCCTCATGGGCCTCCTGGGCCTCCAGGGCCTGGAACTCCAATGGGACCATACAACCCTGCACCTTACAATCCAGGACCACCTGGCCCAGCTCCCCAGTAAGTACTGAATTTGGTTGGTTCTGGGCTTTGCCTAAAGATCCTAGACGCTGGATTCAGTTCCCAGCACCGCACGGTGGTTCACAACCATCTATACATAACTGGTACCAGGAGGGTATATGACTCCAACAACAGGCATGCATATGGGTTGCACATACATGCAATACATGCACAGGCAAAACCTACACATAAAATAATGAAACTTTTTTTTAAGATTCTGGCTTTTGGTAAATGGTATTTGTCTTTTTCTTTTCAGTGGTCCTCCAGCCCCATATGCTCCCCAGGGGTGGGGAAATGCTTATCCACATTGGCAGCAACAGGCTCCCCCTGACCCAGGTAGAAGATAACCTACTGTTAACATGTTGTCTGTATTGTTTGCCTGCTACCACAATGTAAGACTGATAACAATATTTTATTAAGAAAGACTTTTCTGTTGCTGTGTTTTTGAGACAAGGTGTCAGCCTGTAGATCAAGGTGGCCCTCAGCTTCTCTTACAGTGCAAGTATAGCCCAGTTAGGCTAAACATTAACTTTAAATGATTAAAACAGAAAGCTAGAATGAAATGCTATGAAAAGTAAGTACTGTGTTTTAAGCTTTAGATAAAATTGCTATCTAGTGTGTTGTGACTTTATCCATAATAGTTCATATTTGTAAAATAATGTGTCTAACACTGCTAAGTTCCTAAAGAGGATGAATATAAATCATTGCTGATAAGGCACCTTAAAATATTAGCAAAAATTAGGTTCCTAATACACACCAAAGCTCTGAAATATGTATTTCTTCTTCTAATCTGGATTTTCTGTATCATTGTGTTCTCATTTACATGCTCCCAAACTGGTTTTGTTTCCCCACACACACACTTTGCAGCCTTTTAGTTTAGAATTCAGTGGAGAAATTTCAAAGAACATGTTCCGGGTTGTAGATTACTTTCTACATGATATATTTATTTTTGAAAAACCAAAGTAATTGAGCTAAATGTAATTGCTTTGCTGGAATTGTTAAACATTTTAATATTTTAATGTGGCCCAATAATATATATGTTAAAATCATAGGAACTTTGCTCAGTCACCAAATAACCACAACTTCTGCTCATTTAAGAAACAACTTGAGCCAGGCGATTAGCACCCAGAAGGCAGGGGCAGATGGATCTTTTGAGTTTGAGGACAGCCAGGGCTATGCAGAAAAACAGTCCCGGGGAAGGAAAAAAAAGAAGCAGCAGCAGCACAACTTGAATTGTGGTGGCATCTGAGTGTGCAGGATGGGTTTATGCCAGGAGAAGAGTGTGTTCCCAGTATGAGCAGTAATGGACTTGGAGGGTGTGGGAGTGGCATCAAATATGATTGCACTACAGACAGTTTTAAATGAAGCTTTCCTTCCCTTCATTCTAACAAGCATTTAGGAATGGCGTGTTTAAATAGAAGAAGAATCAAAAGGTTTTATCTGGGTAACTTCGATTGCATGCACTATGAGTGGTATTTGGGATAACTGCTGTGGTTAAGAAAATTATACAAGGCTGAAGATGTGGCTCACTGGTTAAGAGCACTGGCTGCTCTTGCAGAGAACCTCGGTTCAGTTCCCAGCACCCACATGGTTGCTCACAACCGTTTGAATCTCCAATCTCAGGGCATCCAACATCTTTTTCTGGCCTCCATGGGCAGGCTCTTCACCTATATGGTGCACAGACATGTACTTAATGTACACAAATAATACATTTTAAGATCTCAAAGGAAAATATTCTGTAGTGTTTTCACATTTTGATTAGTAATGGTGATGTCACTGTAAGATCTGGTCAGTGAGTGTGGCTCTCGGTGTTGCCTTTGGTAGATAAGAAACCCATCTAGCAGAAATACTGTCTAAGCTCAGGTTTATCAACAAGTTAATGACTCAGGATCATTGTTGCTTATGCTTTACTTTAAAATGTATTGTATTTTATTGTCTCTGTTTTCAAGAAACTACTGTTAGAAGATTGAGATTTATATAGTTGTCAGTAGTCCTAGAACTAGTTGATTGTGTGAAATTGAGTGACCTTTCTGAGACTCTTCTTGATCTTAAATGAATAATTGGGTTGCTACTGTGTTAAAGAATAGTAAGTTCTCAGTACATGCTGATTACAAGTAAAGGACCACATTTGTTTGGGTTAGGACAATGAGCTTGGTGCAGGGGGTGCTAACCATGACCCGAGGTCATGGAGATTTGTGAAGAGTCCAGAGAGAAATGGGACTGATAAAAGTTCAGATCCCTGCACTCAAATCAGGCAGCTCAGAATACTCAGAACTCCTTTTCCAAGGTCTAACACCTTCTAGACACCTCACTAAGCATAGATACAGGTAACACCTAATTATAAGTAAATAGAAAATTAGTTATACTAAAAAAGGATAAGCAATTCAGGAGAACATCCAGAATCAAACTCCCGCCTCCCAGCACATGTACACACAAGAGCAAACATGCTCTCACACGCCTACACAAAAGAATAGGACAGGAGGTCCATTTCGTGAAAACATTGACAGCAGAGGCCACAGCATGAATCCCAGCACTTGGAGAAGTAGAGGCGGAAAAGGTGGACATTGAACACCAGCCTGTGTCAGTTACATGGGGCAGGCGTGGCTTCAAAAATGTGTTTGTGGGAGGTGTCAGATGACACACTATGCTTGGGATACCTGAAGATTGTACAGATGTGAACTATAGCAGTAATTTCAAGGTTGTAAGATACAGAATCTGTGTCTTGTGCAAATCAGCCTATAGATGTCTTCTGTACACAACTGTTGCTCTTTGCAGGGGGAGGGAGAAAAGCCAAGATACAGGATTGGGCTGACACAAACCATTGGATTTTAAGCCAAAAGACCATTCCTATCCTGGTTCCATCATTCACTAACTGTGTAAGCTGGGAAATTTCTGAGCTGAGGCTCATGTTTCTGAGCTGAAAGCCAAATGTTAGCAATGATAATACTAGAAATACTTGGAAGTTTCCATTTGTTGTGAATTTTCTAGTCTGTCAGGGATCCCTAGAAAAGTATTGATTTGTGAATGTACATGTAACAGTGAAATTTTTCTTTTCTTAAATTGTAGCTAAGGCAGGAACGGATCCAAACTCGGCGGCGTGGGCTGCTTACTATGCTCACTATTACCAACAGCAGGCACAGCCCCCGCCTGCAGCCCCTACAGGGGCACCAACTACAACCCAAACCAATGGGCAAGGTAACTACGGTAATTGAAAAATTTTTTTTTCCTACTTTAAAGCCAACGTTTATGTTTGGATGTATGTGTGAAGTACATGAGTGTGTCATACCAACATCTTTTTTCTTTGACTTTCAGTTCTGGGAATTGAACCCAGGGCCTGTGCATGCTCTGCTAACACTAAGTTAGATCCCTAGACCTGATATTTGGAAGACTCCATTGTGACTGGGTAAACATACTAAGTCACTTTGAAATAGTAACAAACCATAGTGAAAGTTGGAAGAACGATGTCAAATACCAAAACAGTCACTGTTTTGTCCCCCATTTTCTCCATTACTCTGATATGTCTGTTAACACTTAGGAAAAGAACTACTCAAAACTATTATCCTTATACATACTTGTGTTCTCATTCCAAATATATAACCATCGTCAGTTCTCAGCGTTGGTTCATCACTGATATATACACAGCCCTTGCTTAGATTTGCCGGTTGTCCAGGGTTTTTGAGATCTATCTAGTAACATACAACATATTTATTAGGTCTGTTAAGTCTCAAGATGGATCAGTTCCTTTTTTTTTTGTGTGTGTGTGTGTGTGTGAATTTTCTTATTTTATGTACGTTGGTGTTTTGTCTGCATGAATGTCTTTATGAGGTTATTGGATTCCCTGGAACAGGAGTTACTGAAAATTGTGAGCTGCCATGTGGATGCTGGGAATTGAACCTGGGTCCTCTGGAAGAACAGTCAGTGCTCTTAACCACTGAGCCATCTCTCCAGCCCCCTCAGTCTTTCCTTTAATAGCTCTAAAGAGTGTAAATCGATTGTTAAGTAGCTGTCAGCTTAGGTCCCTTGGAGTTACAAACCCTGATCACTTACTTGGTCACACTGCTATTTGCCGTGTTTTTGTACTGTGATACCTCCACTTGTTATAAGGAATTATTACCTAGTATTTTGCTAGAATTGTCTCCCTCAGCCTTAGTCTCTTTAATAAGCCCTGCCTTAGTAAACTGCTATTACTATAATTGTTAACTGTTGGTTGCTGTCGTTGTATTTTATTTGCTATTTTACTACAAGAAATAGCTTTTTTTTAACTGCTTTTGTTCTATTTTCCTAGATTTGGGTGGTTGGGATTATCTTCAAGGTGACTCTGGTGTCCTCTGACATTCTTCAGGTGCTTCCTTAGTACCTGACACAGTGAGATACTTTGTCTTCTGAGCTCCAATCAGTGAGCTATTCACCTTTTCCCAAGGGTAGAATTGAGAAACCAGAGTATACTTGTTATTTAAATGTTAATGATCATAACCCTTTTCAAAATAAGAGTATTAGAAAGTGTGTTTGGGGGATGGCAAGGTAGTAGTGCTTGTTTTCTACAGAAGACCCAGGTTCAGTTCCCAGCACCCACATGGTGACTCACCATAAGTAATCCCAGGGCATCCAGTGCCCTCTCCTGACCTTTGAGAGCACCAGATACCTTCAGTGCATAATAAATAAGCATGTGCACAAAACACTCATACAGAAAATACAAGTCTAGAAAGGCTTTTGAGGTATGTTTATAAACGTGCAGGCCCAGACATACCTTCCATTTCTACTCTCGTGCTTCGAAACCAGCCAGAAACCTGGTGTCCTATAGTTGTTTCGTGTGCTTTTACTTAACAACCATCTCGCCAGCTTCTCTGTGCACCCGTCTGTACCTGCTGTCAAGTGTGTCCCCACAGCAGTGCACGCTAGTACACAGCTCAGTGGTGCAGGGGAAAATGAAAAGTTGCCCTCAAAATTTAACTTTGTTTTGTTTTTGTTTTTTTTAACAAGGAGATCAGCAGAATCCAGCTCCAGCTGGACAGGTTGATTATACAAAGGCCTGGGAAGAGTACTACAAGAAAATGGGTATGCTGTGCATTTGAATTCATTAATTAAATGAGAATTTAGTAAATACACATTAGAAGGCTAGATTTTGCTTTAAAAAAACACATTTGTTCTGTCTTTAATACTTTATATAAGGATCTCTATATTTTTATGATAAACAAGAAAGGTGACATTCTAAAATCATTGGATTTACAGCATATATTAAAGGCATTCAGAGAAATTTAAGAATTGTGCTTATATGGCAAGGAAATGCATTTGTCAGCAAGTTAGTAGAAATTTCCTTACTAGGAAATAATATATGTGGCTTTAATTATACTTTTGTGTAGTTGTCTAAATGGAATAAGGTTAAATTTTAGAGCCCCAAGCAAAGGAGTTATGAGTTTTACTGGAAACTAAGCGGGAAAATTAGCTCACAGTGACAGGAATTGGACAGCTACTGAATGTATACCACACACAGCCATGGTGACTGTAAAAAGTACTTCTAGCTAGAGACACAACTTTCTACAAAGCTACTTTCAGAGTTTTCTGCTTGAACAGCTGTTTAGAGAAGTGATAACAGCGTTATGCTCCTGAGGCTAACATGTGCTAGCTTTTTCTCTTTTAACCTTATCCCAGGCATGTTATGACAGTGAAACCTGAAAACAGTGTTCTGTGTGATTATACATGATTGTATAATACTTCAGAGGAGGAGGAGAAGTATATTAGTCATTTTGTGATAGCCAGTGGTCAAGGCATGTAGCTACCTTAACTCTGCTGAAGTAACAGTAATTATTATTTTATTATTATTATTATTATTATTATTATTATTATTATTATTATTATTAGGAATTGAGCATGATAAGGCCAAAGCTTGGAATCTGTGCTGTTATGTCCTGTGGTTTGTTTACATGGGAAGTCAGTTTTCAAATGTTTTCCATTCTGTACACTTAAAGTGTTAATTGTAGCTTTTATTGAGCATAGACATTTTAACTAACTTTGGTTTTAGTTTTTTACTAACACTTCCCAGCACACAGTCGATGAATATAGATGACACAATTGTGTGTGGGGGTCTGTTTTCTTCATTTGTACTTTTCTGTAATAATGAGGGAGGATCTTCATGTTTTGCACAAAATAGACTGAGCAATTTCCTGCCACATAACTCTTGAAACACACTTAGGTAATTTAGTTAAGTATTAAATAGTTTTAACTGTATGATAGTTAAACTAATTTTTCCTATAAAAATTCTTTTAATCTTCTGAACCCATTGTCCTCAATATCTTTTTAAAATAATCACAAATAAGAGACCTTAAAGTGAAAAGTTTTGGTTTAGGACTGAGGAGGTAGATAAATAAGAGTGCTTCAGGACCTAGGTTCTGTGGTGATGTATTATTTGTGATTTAATAAAGCTTGCTTGAGGATTCAGAAAGCAAAGCCATAGAAGCCAGGCACACACTTAATCCCAGCAGCCAGAAGCAAGGAGGTGGTGGTACACCTTTAATCCTAGAACTCAGGATTAATTGATAGTCCGAAGCCACCCAGAGCTATGAAAGATTGATCCAGTCCTAAAGAGAAATAGCTCATGAAAAGATGATCCCAGCACCTGAAATCACTCAACTTTAATCCCAGCATTGGGGGCGGTATATAATAAGACAGGAGCAAGTCTCAAGTATCAGTGATTCACTCACTCTCCAACCACACTGGGGTTAGGGAGACATTCAGTGTCAGGATTCTCCAGCCATACTGAGGATCGGCTGCAGGATCAGCCCATTCAGCCTGAGGTAGTGGTAAGAGACCGTGACCACTGCTTTGCTTTTCTGTTCCATAGCTTGAAATTTTGAGTCTTTTATTTGAGTTATGACTTTGAGTCTTTTATTTTTTGTGCAATAGGGTTCAAATCCCTACTACATCTTAAAAAGCTGAACCTGGCCAGTTGCGTGTCCTGGTAACCTCAGTTGGAAGGCAGGCTCTTCCCAGGAGCTTGCTGACCAGCTATAAGTTCTGACTTGGTGTGTTTGAAATGGAAAGAATATCTTGAAGGCTCTTGGTCTTAATTGAATTAGTAGAGTACTTGGCTAACTAGCTCACATGGGTTCTGGGTTCAGTCACCAGTGATCTTTTATCTCCAAAGTAGCCTGATCAGACTTCCTGATTCCTTGCTCCCAAGTACCTTCTTCACAAACCCAATAAGCAAGAAGAACGCTTATTTGTGATAAAGACTCACGTAACTCAGGCTGGGACTGCAGTTGAAACTTATATGGCTGAGGTGATTTTGGACCCGCACTCCACTTGGTCCAAGGTTACAGCCTGTGCCACCATACCCAGGTTTTCACACAGATTGGGGCCCTCATTTTTAGCTTTTGCTAAAAGCAAATCCATTGTTAATAAACTAAATTGTCATCATCTCCCCAGTAGCAACCCTCTACTAAAAGATCTAAATTCCTGAGGTACCACTTCAAGAAAATTTCAAAGACTTCTTTTGGGGTTCTTTGTTTTTGTTTTTTCAAGACAGGGATTCTCTGTGTAGCTTTGGAGCCTGTAATTCAACTCCAGTTGCTCTGTAGACCAGGGTTAACCTCAAACTCAGAGATCTACCTGTCTCTGCCTCCTGGGATTAAAGGTGTGCACCACCACTGCCTGGCAACACCAAAGATTCTTACAGATGAGATTCTAGGTTGGAGGAAGAGGTGTTTTGCGTCATGAGGCAGAACAGAATATGGAGTGGCAGAGGTTATAAGTAGAATAAAAACATCTATAATCAGTAAGGAATTGTGCATCAGAGTTACAGGTAATTCCCATTTTGAGGAAAGTAAGTGAAGCCATTTGGGGTAATGTTTTTAAGAGCCCCTTGTAGGACATTGAGTAAGATGACTCAGTAGGTAAAAACAGTTGTTCAAAGACTGATGACCTAATGTCCAGAAAGGCTACTTACCAATTTCTGACATCTACACACATATACATGTCCTGTATGCTCAGACATACAAACTATACTCAACAGTTTTTTTTTTTTTAAGCCCTTACACTGCTAAGTATTGACACTGAAGACATCTGATACCTTGAAGCCCAGAGAATATGACTGTAGAACAAATGCAGGTCTATGAAGAAATAACTGAGCATGGTGATCTGTTGAATAAGGGTGGCTCCTACAGAAACAGTGAGGCTTTCTATTGAGTTACACATAAATACTGGGGAGTGCCTGCTAAGATGCAAATCAGATTCAAGTGTCAGAAGATTGGCAAGACTAACCGGTGGGGAGTTGGGAGGGTGTGATGGAAAGGCAGGGTCAGGTGAGACCTAGAATGAATTAATTGGTCAGAGTTGTTTGGGGATTTGGGTTTTTCATACAGACTATGTGAGCCTGAAGAGTGCTTTACAAGTCCATCTATCTTATGTCAAAACCAGGGTTGCTCTCACATGCACAGTTTATAAAAGATATTGTGTGCTTTTAATACCCTGTTTGGGTATTTGAGAGTTTTCTAAATTTTGAAACTTAGTTTGAATTGTATCTCCTTTCAAGATCCAAATGTTAAAATCTTGAGAAGTTATTTATGGAAAGTAAAAATAGAGAATTTCTGTACTATTAGTTTTTTTTTGTTTTTTGTTTTTTGTTTTTTTGTTTTTTTTTTTTTTTTTGTTTTTTGTTTTTTGTTTTTTTGTTTTTTTTTGTTTTTTTTTTTTTTGCATTGCCCAAACAAGCCTCCTGCCCTGTGCATTTTAAGTTTGAGTCATAGATCTCAGTTTTTGTTCACATAGTTGGTTGGACTTATTCTGTGAGCAGTTTTACAGTGTGTAGCAGGCTACAAAATGTAAAAGGTGTCCCTTTGTCTTCCCATAGAGCTCCCTGTTCATGTAGCCAGATACATAAAAGAGAGCTTGCTCGTTAGCTTTTTTTTGCACTAGCAATTTTTTTTAATTTATTTATCATGTATACAATGCAGGCCAGAAGAGGGTACCAGATCCCATTACAGATGGTTGTGAGCCACCATGTGGTTGCTGGGAATTGAACTCAGGACCTCTGGAAGAATAGTCAGTGCTCTTAACCTCTGAGCCATCTCTCCAGCCCTGCACTAGCAATTTCAAAAAGCTAGAAAAATGGTGTCATCAGTGACAGGTTTGGCCGGTGTGTTTAGCCAAATGTACTTCATTTATATTTTATGCCTGAGCCATTGCAAAGTATGTTGCAGACCAGTTTGTTTTAAATATATTGAATAATACCCTGTGTTCTTAACTAGTGTACTAAGAAACTGTCTCTACAGTTATTTTGTCTTCCCTTACAGAATCTGTCCAATATTCCTATGATTTGATGATTTTATTTCTCATTTGATAACTCAAAATGGTCACTGCTTAGAAACAAAACAACTACTTAAAGCTGAGTTTTACATGTTTCATTGATTGTGTTCTTTATGTCATCTGCCAGACTATTTTTAGCAAAACTGTACTCTGATATGAACATAGTAGGTCTTTGTGTGTTATGGCTTGAGTGCGTGCGTGTTTTGTATCTTTATAAAATACTGATTAAATATTTATAAATGTCAGTAGGTCTCTATTGTAGGGTAAGACCAATAGTATAACAGATGACCAAAACAGATAAAGAATTGTGACCTGGGTATGGTGGCTTATGCCTGTCATCCTGGCGCTCTGGAGGCCGAGGCAAGTACATCTCTGAAGATGAGGCCAACCTGGTCTACATAGCAAGAGCTCCAGGCCAGCCAAGCTGGATAGTGAGATCCTGATCTGTCTGACCCGCCTGTGGTGGTAATGGCACATACCTTTAGTCCCAGTACTGGTAAGGCGGAGACAGGCGGATCTCTCTGAGTTCAAGGCCATCTTTGTCTACAGGGCCAGTTCCAGGACAGCCAGGGCTACAAAAAGGAACCTTGTCTGAAAAACCAAACAAACAAACAAAAAAATAGAATCTAAAGTAGTTTCTTCTCCTTCCTTGTCAAAGATTATGTCTGAATTTTTGCCTTTGTTTCTAAAGCTATGTGAGTTTGCATTGTTTGTCTTTATTGATAGTTCAATGAACTAAAGACTACAATTTGTGATTAAGATGAAAAGAACCTATTTTTTGTTTGTGCTGCACTTTTCTCCCTCTCTCTTTAAGGCATATTTAAGATAAACAGTAGCTGAAGGGGCAGTGACACATACATAATCCCAGCTCTTGGGAAGTTGGCAAGAGGATTACAAGTTCTGAGCCAGACTGTGCTGCAGGAGTGAAACCCTGTCTCAAGAGAAACAAGGACCTCTGGGCCTGTCATATAAACTGTATATACAGTGGGTGGAAATTTGTATTAAAATTCAAGGGTTTCTTTTAGGTCAACAAGGGCAGACACAAGAATATTCAAAGACTTGGGAGGAATATTACAAGAAGCAAGGTATCTTTACTAGACAAGAGATTCTGTGAGACTTAATTATAGTTGGAGCAATAAAGTTCCTCTCTTTTCCTGAAGGTCAAGCAGTTCCTGCTCCCACTGGGGCCCCACCAGGTGGTCAGCCAGATTATAGTGCAGCATGGGCTGAATACTATAGACAGCAAGCAGCATACTATGCCCAGACAAGTCCCCAAGGAATGCCACAGCACCCTCCAGCACCTCAGGTATAACACGCTTGCTAATTGGTTTTTGGTTTCTTTTTTCTTTTTTTTTCCTCCTTGTTCCCCCCCCACACACTTCAACCATGTTTTCTGCATGTTTGTCTGTTTGGGAATATGTTCTACTTTTTACTGGTAAAGTATAATTGCGATAGTGTGGTGTGTTTGGGGATTTGGTTTTTTTTTATAATGCTTTCTGGCATCTGAGTGCTATTTTTATAATGCCTTTGATTTTAAAAAATAAATTTTCTTCCCCCAGGGATTTGCAAATCATGCAAGAAGCCACCATCATTTATATTAACCAGTTTTTCTTTCTTAAAGGATTCACTCCTGAATTAGCTCCATTTAAAGGATTTTCTTTAACTTTTTGTGTATCTCTTATGTATCTCTTCTGCACAGGGCCAATAATAAGAAGTGGACAATACAGTATTTGCTTCATTGTGTGGGGGAAAAAAACCTTTGTTAAATATATGGATGCAGACGACTTGATGAAGATCTTAATTTTGTTTTTGGTTTAAAGTAGTGTTTTCCCCCCCTTTTTTTATTTTGAAAATGTACAAAATATCTATCACTACTGATAGGAGGTTACTATTTCTGTGTAGAAATGAAAATTGGTTTGTTTTTAGTCCTTAGTGTAGATGTACACATTCCAGCAAATGTATTTGCAACTATTATGTGGTCAATGCTTTGTGATATAAATGTACTTTTTCAATGTATACTTTCACTTTTAAAATGCCTGTTTTGTGCTTTACAATAAATGATATGAAACCTCCTGTGTCGGTAAGTTGGATATATGTGGGTAAAGGATTCATAATTTCTTAGCAGTGATAAATTAAGATACATATACACAAATCTATAAGCTTTCCCCATGAAGTACTGAGTTTTTAAACACTGGCATGTTTTTCCCCCTTGTAGTATAGTGGTAGATTGGAGGATCTTTTCTGTTGTATTTGGCTGTTTCAGCACAAGTAATCCTGATGTCTTCATTTTTCCCTTCTGTTTGATTAGAAACTGCATGTGTATACAGTGATCTTTAGTATACTTCATTGCATTAACAGTGAAATTTCCTTTTATATATGAGCACTGTTTCAGACCTGTACTGCTGCTACAACAGTTAACCTTTCTGTTCTTCACTTATTTCCAAGACTGTTTCAGCATAACTCATTTTGAACAGTTTTCAGACAGTGATTTGAGTAGTTTATAAGAAGCCTTTTGTTTTTTCATGTAAAGCAACTCTTTCAATGTATATAATAGTGTGTTTCTTTCTAAATTTAGGATAGAAAAGTAAATAGTATGCAAAAGTATAGCTACATTGCATCTGCCATTGAAACATTTGGGGTATGAAGATGTTCGAACTTTTTTCTTTTTGCAGTATAGATAAGCATTGTCTTGTAATTGCACAAGTCCAGTCATTGAATCTATTAATTTTTGTGTATTTGAATCATTTTATTACTCTTTAACATTCATGCTGAAGTTCTGATGTTTTGTTGAAAACCATTGTTTTACTCTGCATATTTGTTGGCTCTTTGCATATTAATCTATTAGACTACATGCAAATACAGTCTGTCTTGCCATTGTCTGTTGAAGTGCAGGTTTGATCCAGCCAGTATAGAACTAGCTCTGTAGGGGTGAGGAGGACTGTGCTGTGTGTCACCCTTGATTGTGTTCCTTCAAGGAGCATTGCACTGTAAGTACATCAGCGTGACAAATTGATGAACTGCAACAGTGTCTTTTTGTCATGTTCCACATAATGCAATTGCTATATTCTGTGTGAATATTATGTTGGAATACAGTGCTGATATTATGGGAAACCATAACTGCCATAGAATATTTTATAGTTCTGTATTTTTTTTTAAGTGAGCTTAATGGGTAAGTATTTTTGATATGCTTTAGCTAATAGCTAAAGAAAATTGATCATTAACAAAGTTGAATAGTATTATCTATCGTGGCTCCTAAAATGCCGATTTTCAGTGTAAAATGTGCATCTTTTATAGTGATATGAAACACTTGAAATGTGTAGGACAGAAGTGTTTTCAGATTGCAAATTATAAGCCATGTAGCATTTAACACCTTTGTATAAATGTGTTCTATCACCTGTGGGGAGCACCATTTGTTTTGGCATATACTTTAAAGGAAGGTGTGTGAGGCCAAAATACTGAGATAATAGGGCAGAAACCAGTACAGCTGATTGTGGATGTTTTGAAATGTTTTTGACTGTTTTATGTAACTTAGAGTGACTTCCCTAACCCCTATTTAGATCTGTATACATAGTCTAGTTAAGGAGTTATCTATTCTCTTAAGTGTAGGGTATTGACATGAACAATTTCAGTATTTTGCATGATGTTGTTGCATAGATGACCTAGGAAAGTGGTGCACTTAGTAATTAAACTGAAGGAAATAGTTGGATTCAGTATCATAGTTCACAAGTTGGAGGCTGTTGATTTTGATTCGTTTAAAGTTTAAAATCTTTATTAATTGCAAACAGTGCAATTATTTATACTTCACAGTGCCTTCCCAGACCTTCCACCTTAGGTTCTGCTGCAAAAAGCAACAGGTAAGCACAGCCTAAGGACATATGTATAAATATATCAGTGCATTGATGTTGTCCCTGTGAGGTCTCTGTGGTTGTGTACTCACTCGAAAGCAGTCTGCCACTGCTTCCCCAAGTGTACTCTGTTACCTATGCTACCATTCTAGTGGAAAGTCCGTTAAGTTGTTCAAGCAACTGTTTATACTTTTGGGTAATGGTTTTTTTTTTATTTTAATTTTTTTCATTAAAATTAGTAGATTGCTGCTATAAATGAAAAACATCTGAATCTTTTTGTGCCTCCCTCCCCCAAGTTATAGAAGTGTTACAGTAAGAATAGTTAATACTTGATTCGGTCAGAAATTTCAACAGCCTTCACAGCCTGTTTGTATAACTGATAGGGCATTTTCTTTATCCTCCAAACCTGGGGGGTTTGTTTTATTTTTTCCTCTTTTATTACTGCTTTAAAGTATAGTAATTCAGTAAGAACATTTTGGGTCAGTGGTAGACAGTTCTGTTTTCATGACTTATATTTGCTGACAAGGAAGAATAAGGAATATTGGCAGTAACTTTTGAAAAAAAAAAAAGGCATGTGCATCAGTGAAATGTTAACTGTGTAACAAATAACCTTTCATAGTCTGCATAACCAAGTTTCTGATTTATAACTTAATAACTGACGCTGCATTTATTTTTTGCCAGTTTAAAATGTTTGTGTTCTTAGCAATGTTTATAACTAGTACATATTTTGACTTAAGATGACTGTCTTAAAGCAGCACCGTATCAGTTTGTTTTTATTCAGTTTCTAAAATGTGCTGATCCTATTAAAAAAAACTCCTGCTTATCTTTACAACAAAGAGAACTATTCAAAAATACTGCCTTCATTTTCACACACAGTGCTGAAGATGCTGCAAGCACCAAATCATAGCTCATAAATCAGGTCCTGAGATAGTTACCCATAAAGAGGAATCCTTTCAGTGTATGCCATTGGTGAGCCGATGAGCATGGACCATAGAAGGGCTCAATGTAGAAGGTAAAATTGGCAAGTCATAATTGAGAAGTATGAAATGTATTCCCATACATAATGATACAGGGTGTAATGTACCTGCTCTTGATCACTTTTCATTTTAAAGTGCTGTTCACTTAAATGTTCCATGAACTGTTGAGTTAAAATTATATAGTTATTGCACATGCACTGTGTGTGTGTGTGTGTGTGTGTGTGTGTGTGTGTGTGTGTGTGTGTGTGTGTGTGGGAGGAGGTGGAGGAAGAGAGAGGGAGGAAGAGAGAGAGAGAGAGAGAGAGAGAGAGAGAGAGAGGGATCTGCATGTTACGTAGAAAACAAATCTCTGTAGAGAAGTATTGGTTAGTTATACTTTTTGTGTGGAAGTCTGGAGAATGCTTATACATGCTGGGGATTGTCTGTCTTGTTGAGGTTTAATTCATTACCATGACCGTCACTGTGCTTTAAGCATTTTAGTAGCACCATTCTTAGCCTCTAAGTAAACTGGGAAGCAGAAAACGTGAGCCAGTGGGCGTGAAAATGTGAGCCAGGAGATTTTAAGGGCAGTAGAAAATTGAATGGTTTAAATTGAAATTAAACTCATTTAATATTTAAACAAGTTTACAGCTTTTTTTAATGACATACATGTTAGTGTAGTGATAATTTTGAATTCTTTGATGTTTGTTTCAGAAATGCGTATACTTGTTTTTTGGTAATGGGGTTCATTTTGATATTAAAACTAGTGATTTGATACTAGTAAATTGTCTTCTTAAATATCTTGGTAGTTAATTCATTAAAGTGAGTTTAGATAGCAGTAGTGAGTGAGTGCTCTCGGGGAGGGAAGTTTTCATTGACTTGAATGCTTTGCCAATGCAACCAGTTCTTCCTGAAAATAGTTACGTGTCATCTAGAATATTGATGTAGACTTAACTGATCACTGGAGATGTCTCATTTTTATTTCTGCAAATTCTGCCTGCCTTTAAAATGCATTTTCATAGTACTTAGAGATAATTTGACTGAAAATAACCCTATTTTCTGTTTGATCAGTCAATTGACTTTGAGTGATTTTTTAAATTGATGCTTAAAGAAGCAAAGCCCAGGGCTTTATTTTCTTCAGTGATACCCTAAAGAAACTTAATGCATTTGCGAATATATATATATTTTCTTATGCATGCTCCATGCATTTTCGTCCTGAGAAAAGTGTTCTCTACAGAAACTACCCGTGTGTTAACAGAAGATTGGCTTAAAATGGCTACTGTGATGGGAACAGTGTCTTAGGGAGATGCAGCTTGGACTTGAGGTAAATTGAATACTTTACAAACTGGTTTAGAGTTTCCTTTAATGACATTGTATGTAAAGGGCATGTGATTGTTGTAATTTTGTATTCGTTATGGTTTCCTTAATTTAAAAATAAATGTACAGTGATTACTATTACAAGAGTGCTTTAGTCTTTTGTGTCTTTGGTGTGTATACTGAAGAAGACCACCTTTGGGGGCTGGAGAGATGGCTCAGAGGTTAAGAGCACCGACTGCTCTTCCAAAGGTCCTGAATTCAGCCTCAATTTCTGTCTCTACTTCACACAGCTCAGTCATTGGATCCCTTCAAAGCTGTCCATTCTGGTTAGAAGACAAGCACAAAGATGCTACAAATGAATCAAGCAGGGTGTGTGGTGGTGCAAGCCTTTAATCCCAGCCCTCAGGAGGCAGAGACAGGCAGATCTCTGAGCTGGAGGCCAGCCTGGTCTATAGAGAGCCAGGACTACACAGAGAAACCCTGTCTCAGAAAAGAAAAAAGAAAACAAAACTACAAATGTCTAAAGAACAAACATTTGTATATTTATATTCTTGGTTTCTGATGTCCGCTCTGCCACTTAAACTGGTGAAACTGGGGGCTGCAGAGATGGCTCAGCGGTTAAGGGCACTGGCTGCTCTTCCAGAGGACCCAGGCTCAACTCCCAGCACCCACGTGGCAGCTCACACCTGTCTGTAACTCTAGATCCAGGGCTTCTGACACCCCTACACAGACAGACATGCAGGCAAAACACCAATGATCATAAAAAGTAATAAAAACGACAGGTGAGACGGCCCTGTAGTCTACCTTAAAGAGTATTATTTTAAGCCGGGTGTGGTGGTACACATATTTCATTCCAAGACAGTCTCTGAGCTGGAGGCCTGCCTGGTGGACACAGTGAGTTCCAGGACTTGGAGCCAAAGAAAATCCCAAAATGAAAATGAAATTTATGACGTGTACATAAAACCACTATTTTAAGCTGTACAAACTACTTTGCGACAGTGGAGGTCTTCTGATAAGGTCTTTACTCTGGATTGTAGTTTGCCAAAACAGTACCCAAACCAGAAACTGCCAGACCAACCCTCAAAGGAGTCAGACACCCAATGCTATCATTCTACAAGCCAAGGGTCCTTCAGACTTTTATATCTGAATCCCATTCTTACATAGAGGAACTCTGCCAAGCCTTTCTGATAGCAGCAATTATATAACGGCAGTTTAGAAAGTACTTGTGTATGTTCTCTGATTTCTTTGCTATTTGTGTGAAAATGCCTGGTATTTAAGCAAGAGAAGCTTTCATAAAGCTATGATATTCTTTTGAAAGTTTTTGTTTTGTTTTTTGAACAGTTTCTTTCTGTAATACAAGTGGGCTCTGAACTCACGATCCAGCTGTCTCGGCTCCTAAGTCTGGAATTGCAGGCAGGAGTCTTGATGCCCAGCAGCCATGATCACAATACTCAAATAGACAATGTTCCAGCGTCAGCCTGAAAAAGAGCACTGGGCTGTGTCCTCTGCCATTTCGCCCATTTTGGGAGGGTGTCTAAATTCTTCTCTAAAATCAAACTACTAGTCATCTACTAATGACCATGTCTTATTTACACGTTTACACTTTCCTTAAAAGCCTGTGGACACTAATACAACTGTCAGGTCTGGAACCCAGACTCCAAATTTCCAACCTTATGGAAAGGCTTTCATGACGCTAAAAATACCAATAACTTAAGCTTTATTTTAAAGGAAAAACAATTTTTTTTTTTTTTTGGTTTTTCAAGACAGGGTTGTGTGTGTGTGTGTGTGTGTGTGTGTGTGTGTGTGTGTGTGTGTGTGTGTGTGTGTGTGTGTACACGCACACAGGGAATGAGCCCAGGGCCCTGTACAGGTTAGGCAAGCGCTCAACTATTAAGGGCTCCGTCTCTAGACCTTACCTCATTTAGGTTATAAGACAGAAGACAGAAACTTAAAGCAAGTAACATTAAAACATTACCCTATTAAGATTAAACTGTGGGGGGGGGCTGGAGAGATAGATGGCTCGCCTCTTTAATCCTCTGCTGGGATTAAAGACATGGGCCACCAATGCCTGGTAAGACCACCCATCTTAAAAAGAAAAAAATTAAACTGTTCTAGAAATCCCACCTTCTCCCTATCTACAAATGCCTTTCTTGAAATTACTGAAGTAGTGTGGACACATTGTTAGCATCATATACATCATCTAAATCAACATTTGGTAGGTACCCCATGAATTTTTTTTTTAAAGGTGGTTGCTCTTAGGTTCAATTCCCAGCACCTGGGAGGGGGGGGCGGCGGGAGAGGAAGAATTGGACCAGCGATGGTGGAACACACCTTTAATTCCAGCACTAGGAAGATTCTGAGTTGGAGGCAGCCTGGGCTACAAAACAAGTTCCAGGACAGCCAAGAAAAAACCTTGTCTTGAAAAACAGAAACAAAATAATCGTTACAAAAGTCTACACTTCCCATAAGATATGAATGAGCTGCTGAGCAAACACTTCAAACGCTCAGAAGTGTTCCACATTGTTCCCAGTGCCATGGGACAAACACCGCCGCTGTCATTCAGCGCATATTCCCCTGGGGAAGACAGAACGTGCAGAATAAAGAAACAGGTGAGTGTCAGAGGAAACAACGCCATTAAGATACTATGGAGAGGGTGATGTTCCATCCAATGAAGGCTCCTGTTAGCTCTCTGCCTAGTCTTGGTTTTTTGAGACAGGGTTTCTTTGTGGCTTTGGAGGCTGTCCTGGAACTCACTCTGTAGACCAGGCTGGTCTCGAACTCACAGAGACGACTGGAGTAAGCCTGGCTATGATACTTTTTAAAGGGTCCAAGCTTTAGGATGACACTTTTAGGAAGACAAGCATCTTGGTAAGCAGTGCTTACAGGCCTCTTTCATTCTGTTTTTCCTGTGCCATGCGGCAAGGATGCTTTAGTCAACAGACTGAATCACACAGATGACAGCAACTACGTGACGTCTATTGCCTAGTGATATCACAGCCATCTTAATTTGTGTTAACACGCTGATACTCACACAATGACGAAATCACTTGTGTCAAGGAGATATGTGCAGTTCTGCTAAGAACAGTATTACCTGTAATCCCAGCACTTGGGAAGAGGGAGACAGGACCATCACTGTGAGATCTGGTGCCCTCTTCTGGTGCACAGAATATTGTATACATAATAAGTAAATAAAAAAGACCACCTATATTTTAAAGCACGGGTAACTTTATTACTATGATTTCACAATGTAAAATTAATTTTTTTCCAAGAAATTTGTATTACAAAACAATCAAATAACAGAACATAATAGTTATAATTATTTACAGACTTTGTTGTTGTTTCCAGACAGTCTCACTATCCTGGTCACGGTGTAGACCAGGGTAACATTGAACTCTGCTTGCCTTTGTCTCCCACGTTCTGGGGTAAAGGTGTGCAACTATCATGCCTGACATTTACAGACTATTTCTCTTAGGTCTTGAAACCTTCAACTATGCTTTAAAAAACCATTAGCATGGAATACTAATATTTTCTCATTAAAGTATAATTTATTCAGGCAGGTCACAGCATACACTTTATAACTTTTAGTTAACTAGTCACACTTGGAATACTGTGCAGCTTTGGTTTGTATCAGATTTAGTAGTCGTTCTTTTAAAAACAAAAACAAAACAAACAAAACACCTTTGTTGTGAGAAGAATGATGCTCCTGTCAGTGTATCTGCTTCAGAAGACTTGGAGTCTACGGCAGGTACATACTGCAGAGGAAGACTGAGTCACTGTTCTCTGCCCCATTTTAGACATAAAACTCTTATTCTTAAATTCAGTCATGCAAGCATAATTGGTATAAATATGGAAAATACAAAGCGTTTGTTTTGGGTTCTGACAGAGTGAGTACATCTCCCTTTCCTGTCAACTACATTTTAACTGGGCACAACATGGTAACCTGATGTGCGCTTGAAAAGGCTTTCTTTGGATGAGCTCCTGGTTTGGGAAAGAGGACTGAGTCAACATAGTGGCACCTCTGGTCTCCTTTTGGCCCCTCCACAGAGATGTAGCAAAAGGGTTGGAGAAAGAGTTCCAAGGAGAAAAGGAAGCCTAGTAGTCATCCACTAAAAGAGAGAGAGAGAGAGAGAAAGAATAGGAATGCTGTTTTTCCTATTTATTTCTTTAATAAAATGAAGGAGAAAGCCAGTCAGTCCTTACTTTCAATGGTAAGAATGCAGGTACTTGCTGCAGAGCCTTTGCTGTTGACTGCTTTGCACATGTACTCTCCTCCATCTTCCGGGAACGTTTCTGGTAGATAAAGGCAGTAGGTTTCACCCCTCTCAATGTACTGGTAGTCTTCTCCATCCTGCAGCATTTCCCCTTCAAACCACCATGTAACTTGTGGCTTAGGTTCCCCTGTCACTTTAACAGTGAACCTTACTGGCTCACTGTCTACAACTGAGGTGTTTCTTAAAGGCTTTTTGAACCATGGCGCTCCTGATCTGGTTTGCTCTTCATCTTCAGTAGTGGAGCCATTAACGATACCACCTTCCTCCTCCTCCTCATCTTCTCTTTTCTATATTAAAATAAGTGCATTCATCAAGTCATTTAGTAATAGAATTTTGAAGTAAAAGACAGTTTGGGATTTAACTCAGTGTTAGAGCCTTTGGCTAGCATGCATGATGCTCTCTCTCTAAACCATCCCAATGGCTTGAAAGCAATGAAGACAAGTTAATGGCTTGCAAACACTTTTGGAACTCACTCTGAATATGCAGACACATACCTTCTGTAGTGCCGCATCAATTTCTTTCTGTTCAAACTGCATTCGGAGTAACTTCTGTTCTTCAATTCTCCGTTGTTCCTCCTCTTCTCTTGCCTTTGCCATTTGTTCAAATCTGGCTTTCATGTTCACTTTATGAGTAAAGGGAGATTCACTCTTTTTTGCAGGCTTTACATCAACATCATCTTCCTTTAAAAATAAATAAAAGTTGCTTGCCAGGAATTGATTACATTAATGATTTGGTAGTTTATAGGCACAAAATAAATTATGTAAATTATGGTCAAGTGCCAAGGAAGCATACATAAGAATATGGACAAGCAGCTGAAATAAATATGGGAAAGTGACTCAGGTGAACTTTGGAAACCAGGAAAATGAAGGGCAGGATCAGCCATCTAAGTGTGTGAGTCTAGGGAAAGGCCAATAAGTGTCAAAATTTTTTTGATCTTTGATACAATGGTATTGAACCGATTGTTTCTAAAGGTTGTTAACTTTTAAACAAAGTTTAAGTGTAGACTTTTGCCTGCAGTACTGTCTATGTATGATGCAGTGACTGGGGAGGCCAGAAAAGGGTGTCATTCTCTGGACCTGGCATTACAGATAATTGTGAGCTGTTCTGTGGGTGCATGGAAAAGAACCCCAGTCCTCTCCAAGAGCAGCAAACTCATTTAACTGCCAAGCATGTGAGGCCTTGTCAAGTTTATGTGGTTCCAAAGGCTGAAGCCAGGGAGGGCTTCCTAAATGCTGGGCACATTCTGCCAATTGAGCTGCATCCCCAGCCATTAAATTAAGGCCTTCATTGGCCTCTGGGAGAAAAACTAGTTTGTGTTACCATAGTGCAGTGGGGGATGGAAGGGTGTAATTATCCAATAAATGGAAACTGAGAAGCGAGCTGTAGAATAATTCTATAAGAAAATAATGGCTCACCAGGCGTTGGTGGCACACGCCTTTAATCCCAGCACTCAGGAGGCAGAGGCAGGTGGATATCTATGAGTTCGAGACCAGCCTGGTCTACAAGAGCTAGTAACCGGACAGCCACAGAGAAACCCTGTCTCGAAAATAATAATAATAATAATAATAATAATAATAATAATAAAATGGCTCATGGGCAGATGCATGCTTTCTTCAGTTTGGAAGTTTCTCAGTTTCTCAGGTCACATTTTAGTTGTATTTAGGGAAATCCCAGAACATGAGATAGCTATTGGGTTTTGTCATTGTCTTGTTATTTAGCCTCTTGATGACTAGTTGTCAGTGACACTGATTGATTGTGACAAGATAGAAAAGTACATGTCCTGGGGCTACAGATGTATCTTACCTGGTAGAGCGCCTGTCTGGTGTGCACAGGGCCTGTACCATGATCCCATCACCACAGAAGTGGAAGCAAGAGCCAGGCATTGGATAGTGGTTTGCTTCCATTGTCACAGACCTTTCCACATACATGAGAATGCTTAAGCCAGTATACTAACTACTGTTTTAACTGAATCATCATAGGACATATAATTTCTCTTTCAAGGATTTAGTTCAAAACTACATTTAGAAAATGAGAGATTTGAGTTGTTCCTGACCTAACTGAAAGGAATGTCAGACTTCGATGCTTTTCTAGAACATTTAGAAAACTAGGCTGGTGCTCTGGGAAAGGAGCCTACTAAGAAAGTCCTGTTTTAACTGGATTGAGCGTTGGGATATTAAAGCAGTGGTGTTTTCGGGACACAGCAGGACATTAGAGGCTGAGCGTAGCTCGTTGGCAGAGTGGGTGTCTAGCATGAGTCCTCATGTGACTCTAATCTCCATCCCTTCGTGGGGCGGAGACGAGGTGTCACCCCTAAGTTTGATGCCAGATTAGGATATAGAAGACACACATTCAAACAATGTAAGGCCAAATGGGTGGTGTGAAGTACTATATTGATTCTTTAGCCAAAGGTTACATGGGTGAATTCAACCTTGAAGTCGGGGATCTTAATTTTGAAGATACTAATTCATGTCCCCTACCCCAAGACAAGATGTCACTGGCTGGCCTGGAACTCAGCACTTCCAGCGTTAGAAGCATCCATTTACCTGTGGATAAAAGGAGTGCACTACCACTCCAGAACGAATGTTGGTAGTTCTCAATAGAACAAGAGTTGGAGATTCAGGGAGTTGGGGGCAAGTCCATCACTGGAACTTATTAACACCTAAAGTTTGTATAATGACCCTTAGTCCAAGGTGGGTAGAAGAGACAGACTTACACATCCTTCGCTGGAAACAACTGACACCCTAATCTGACTGTTGTGGGAACAACCTTCAGCCAGCAGCTTTTGGGGTACCAGCCCATTCTGGTAGGAGGTAAGTACTTAGCAGCAGCGTCCAGTTGCAGCACTGCTGCAAGCCACCAATTTTCCCATTTCCCACTGTACCCCACAAGCTGTTAACATCTAAGTGCCAGAAGTAGCAAAGCAGCAAACATACAGGTTTTACTCCTGCAGATTTTCTAGTAACTACCTTTAACAAAGGAGAAACTGTTTGGTAGATTGGGATTTTGTTTATGACAGGGTCTTCTGGAGCCCAGACTGCCCTTGAACTCATCCAGTCTCTCTAGTGCTGGGATTGCAGCAATAATTCATCATACCCAGCTTGAACTTTGCCTATGATGTGATGTTTAAAGATTAGGATTTTAACTTTATTTTGTACCACATGGCCAGTAAATATGAGTGCTCTCCAATCATCACTATTGTTTTATTAGTTCCCACTGTTACCCTGAATTTTACAACATCACATGATGCTTGCACCTCACTAAGCCCAGAGCCAGTGTCAGCAAAGGTAGCCAAGTAGCATCAGTGGAGGCTAGGGCAGAGCTGTAACTTACATCACGCTGAAATAACTCTGCACTACACCGTGTCCAATGTAACTTCACAGCAGGAGGGAGCATGAGGCACATAGGTTGTTTTCAGTCATAGCCCTGGCTCACTTGTGTGTCCCCAGAACAACTTGTCTGCCTGCTTTGTTTATTGCTAACCCTTGCTGCCTTCCCAGGTTTGTCTCCATTCTGCCGTCCATCCATTCCTCCTCCTCATCCTTTTGGACTGTATGACCTAAAGGGTCTTTGCTATTTTGTTTCCAGATGATTACATATATACCAATTAGAAACTATAAATACTAAGACTTATTTTAAGATCAAGGTTATAACAAATACAATGATGTACCTCGTGGAAGTTTTCTGCTTCTCGCTCTTTAATTTCAAGATCAATTGCTCTCCTCTTGGCTCGCTCTTCTTCTATCTTCTTTTGTATTTCTTTTTCAGACAACTGTCCAATTTTTTCAAACTTACTTTTCAGATTTTTAGCTTGAATAGAACCACTTCTTTTTAATTTGATTAGTTCTTCATATTCTCTACTCAATCCAAAAGTTTCATTTTCTTCTTCTTCCTTCAAAAGATAAAGATTTCTGTGTGTTGAATATCAGAAAATTACAATGGATCCCCACTCATCTGTGTGGGGGAAATATGTTCCAAGACAACCAAGCAGATGCCTGGAAGCCACGGGCCAAATAGAATGCTTTATGTACTGTTTTATTTCTGGGTTTGGAGAGATGGCTTGGTGCTTAAGAGCACTGGCTAATCTTCCTGGGAGATGTGGGTTCAGTACCTAGCAGCCACACACAACCTTTTAACTCCAGCTCCAGGAGATCTGACACCCTCTTCTGGCCCACTGGCACTGCTGGTATGTGGCACCAAACATACATGCAGACAAAACACCCTTATAAAACACCCAGGCAATACACGGCCGGGTGGTGGTGGCGCACTTGGGAGGCAGAGGCAGGCGGATCTCTCTGAGCTCGAGACCAGCCTGGTCTACAAGAGCTAGTTCCAGGACAGCCTCCAAAGCCACAGAGAAACCCTGTTTCAAAAAACAAAACAACAACAAACAAAAAAAAAAAAAAAGAAAAAAATCACACCCATACACATAAGTTTTAAATTTAAAAAAAAACTAAGAACTTCCAACCTTTCATATAAAGGAAGCCATGTACAGCCATGTCATTAAAGAACTCATTGTATAAATATTTTTGTTCATTTGAATGGACAGATGCAGAGGGTTACAATATCTCCACACCACAGATACCCAGTCTTATGTTTTTGATAGGACCCCTTTGGCAGCTAGATGGGCTCCCCAGCACTTGGAAAGCTGAGGCAGGTGGATCTCCAAGTTTGAGGCCATCCTGGTTTATAGAGCTAGTTCCAGGAGAGCCAAAGCTACAAAGAAACCCTGTCTCAAAAAGAAAAACAAAAACAAACTTCTCTTTGGCATATTTAATTGCTAGCATTCAATAAATACTATTGCTTTAGGACTCACAATTAAATACAATATTGATTACAACTCCTTTAGATCTTATTTTTTTACACATGCTTTGCCTGTATGAAGTGTGTATGCCACATGCATGCCCGGTGTAGGTCAAAATAGGGCATCAGATTCCCTAGAACTGGAGTGAATGGATGATTGTGAGCCAACATGTGGGTGCTGGGAATTGAATCTCAGTCCTTTGGAAGAACAACTTTATCTTTGACATTGCATCAGGACACTGTTACCTACAACACCACACAGGAGAAACAGACAATTTAGTTACAACAAATAAATACCTACAAAGATCTTACTATTTTAAGTGCGATTTTAGTTTTTTGTCAGGCCACATTTCTAGCTATATTCTACCGGGTTGGACACACACCTTTATTGAGTGTATCTGTCATAGAAGTGTGTCAGATATCTTACGTGATTAATACATAGTCACAATAGAGCAATCTAAGAAAAACAATTAAATTTCGAAGTGAATATTCCCCTCACCTCTCCCATTTCTTGTCTCAGCTGCTCAAATCCCTGCTTCTCCATTTCTAGTTTATGCCTCCGTTCCTCCTCGGTTCGTCGTCTTTCTTCTTCCATCTTTTGTCTTAATAATTCCTCAAAATTAATTTCCAGTTTTCCAGGCATCAGAGATTCTTGAGAAACTGTTTTATATATCTCTGGGGAGTCATCATCTTGTACCTATTTAAAATAAATATTTTGTCATATTTTCCACAATTGTGCATACTGAAAAGGTAGTATTTCTTATAGATGCAGACTTCTGGAATAAAAGTGTTTCAAGTTGATCTAAGAATTCAGAAAGCATACACTTTCATAGGGGTCCTATCAAAAACATAAGACTGGGTATCTGTGGTGTGGAGATATGGTAACCCTCTGCATCTGTCCATTCAAATGAACAAAAATATTTATACAATGAGTTCTTTAATGACATCGAGAATATTTTAACTGGACTGAAGTGAATCTCCAAATCTGGTCACCGAAAGAAGGCATTTTAGTTAAATCATAGTCTTAGGGAGTTGATTACATCTGGGTCATCATGAGCTTTTATCAGAAAAACAAAAGCTTTAATGCCATAATTGTATTATGCGGAAGTTTTGCTGCCAAGATGTTTTAAAGAAATAATATTTAATATATTCTTAGAACTGCCAGGTCCACTTATGGATACATATATTTAGTTATCCCTGTAACCTTATAAAATAGCTTTGGGTAAATATCCTTGGTTCACATGTGAGGAGCCTGGGAAACTGACTGAAAAGTAACTTGTCCAAAGTGAACAGAAATGCCAGGGAGCAAAGCCAAAAGTCAGGTCTCGGAATATTTCCAGTAAGATTATAAATGATGTCATACCTGTGGGAAAGTGCCATGCTGAAACCAGAAGTTCATTAGAAATGTGAGTAACAGACTTCTTTCATAATTTTGAACATTTCTATGAGGAATTGATTTTGACCTTGGGCAAGCCACTTACCTCTCTGAGCCTCCCTGTGACAACTTTCTTATGGTTCTCACTGGATACAATGAAGCTTGGAAATACTTAGTGCTCCCAACAGTAAGGTTTTAACTTTTTAAAATGTTCATCTGTCTATTTTGGAGGGGTGGGCATGTAGGTATCAGAAAAAAAAAAATTCAGGGTTCAGTTCTTTCTTCTTATCATGCAAATGTCCAGGATTGAACTCAGGCTTAGTAGTATCTTCTCAGTCTCCAATAACAGTTTTATTATACTGCCACATCCTAAATTCAAGCAATTCCCAAACTGAACTAGAACCTTTGCTGGCAAGTTGTTGATATCAAATACATTGTACCATGAAAAATAATTTAATTCTGTTTTTCTGTTTCCTGGAAATAAACACTTTCTCTGTGATCTGAACTGTGGCCTGCATGCAGACATGGACAGAGTGAGAAGGCCTCTCCTGGACTCCCAGGCAAGGAATAGCGACAATGATACGGGTACAGCAGTGAAGATGGTAGAGGAAGTCAGGGAGTTGAATAAATGGGCGTTTGTAGCCACTTAGGTATGAATGAAAAGATGGAGTCACGAGTTTCAGATTGGAGTGTATGGGTAAATTGGTTAATAAGATAGTCATTTTAACATGGCATGGAAAGCTTACCTTTGTGACAAATTGGGAATCAATATGTAAGAAAGAATGATGGGGATTTTGAGGAGTTAGATAATTATGATTAAGTGACTTTGGCCATCTACAATACATCAAGTGGGATTAAAATGGCAAGAATAAAGGAGAGGGGCAGCAGGGAAGGGGGGAAGGACAGAAGGAACAGGAAGGAGGAAGCTATAGGGGAAAATTCCCAGATCTTCTTTTTTAAAATAAATAGGACTCCAGTCCATTTTTTAATTTATCTCATGTGCACTGGTGTGAGGATGTCAGACCCCCTGAAACTGCAGTTACAGACAGTTGTCAGCTGCCACGTGGGTGCTGGGAATTGAACCCTGGTCCTCGGGATAGGGCATCCAGTGTCTTAACTGCTGATCCTCTCCCCAGCTCAAATTTTCTTTTTTTGACACTCAGATCTAGTCTAGAAAGCATATCTTTCCAGTGAGGGCTGATAGTGTCCAACTCTTTATGCCAGGCACAGATGGCACTGGTAATCAGAACCCTTTCAACACAAGGGAAGAAAATGCTGACTTATTTGGCATTCACAGGCTTGCTACAGATTTCAGAGATGATAGGCTATTCCTCAGAGTCTAATCATTTCATTTACACCCTCTAAAAAAAACGGAATCCCTAGGCTTGACAGTTCAGTCAGTAAAGTTCTTGTCTTGCAAGCTGAGTTTAACCCCTGGAACACAAGTGAACTAGGTGCACACCTGCAACCCCAGCACTGAGAGGCAGAGGCGGGATTCCACAGACTGCTAGCCACTCCAGTCTTAAAAGAGCACAGCATTCCCGAGGACGACACCAAGGTGGCTCTCTGGCTTTTTGTAGCTTGCACAAGTGCACACATGATGCGCACATATGACACACACATGCTGAATGTCATGTCAGCTGTCTTACCATGCTCCTCCTCGCTTCAGCAAATGCCTTCTTCTCTTCCTCTATTCTCCTCCGGGCCTCCTCCTCGGCTTTTCTTTTTTCTTCTTCTCTTCTTTGCCTTTCTAGTTCCTCAAAACTGAGTTTGAGTTTTCCAGGGCGGTACTCTTTAAAAACTTTTCTCGTATCTTGGTTTTCATCCTCCTCATTTACCTAATAAACAAAATATGTATTACTAAAAGTTGAGATTCATGGGGACAGGAATGCATTGCCAGTGAAAGACATGCACTTAGCAGCTTGACCAAGTGTTTCCATGCTCCCAGAATACTTACTCCAAAGCCTCTTCCTTTTCATTCATTTTTTATTTGTATTTTTGATTTGTTGAGTCAGGGTCTCTCTAAATAGCACTGGCTGCCCTGGAACTCATTAAGTAAACCTGGCTGGCCTTGAACTTAGAGAGATCCAGATCCACCTGCCTCTTCCTCCCAAGTGCTCAGATTAAAAGCTACCATGCCTGGCCAAACCCTCTTCCATTTTAGCGTCCCATATGATAAAATAATCAAATGTGGAGAAGCTAACAAATAAAAATGTAGGGCTGGAGAGATGGCTCAGAGGTCAAGAGCACTGACTGCTCTTCCAGAGGTCCTGAGTTCAATTCCCAGCAACCACATGGTGGCTCACAACCATCCGAGATCTGGTGCCCTCTTCTGGTGTGCAGATATACATGGAAGCAGAATGTTGTATACATAATAAATAAATAATCTTAAAAAACACAAAATTACTCAATATTCAATAAGATTAAATAAAATTTCTCTAGCTTTTGAATAAAAGAGACTGCATAACATATTTTAAAGGACTTGGCTGACCTAAGAGTTCAGTTATACACACACACACACACACACACACACACAGAGAGAGAGAGAGAGAGAGAGAGAGAGAGAGAGAGAGAGAGAGAGAGAATATGTGTCTGGAGAAGGCGAGACACTTTAATCTGAGCTCTCAGAGGCAGGCAGATCTCTATGAGTTCAAGGCCAGCCCAGTCTATACAATAAGTTCCAGACAGACAGAGCTACAGCAAAACTCTGACTCAAAAAAATTTCCAAGCTGGGCCATGGTGGCACACACCCTTAATCCCAGCACTCGGGAGGCAGAGGCAGGCGGATCTGTGTGAGTTGGAGACCAGCCTGGTCTACAAGAGCTAGTTCCAGGACAGGCTCCAAAGCTACACCAAGAAAGCCTGTCTCTGGAAAAAAAAATTTTTTCAAAGAAAAAATTACTTCCTCACTTTGAACTATGGTGATTTTCCTTATACTAATCCTATTTAAAAAAAAAAAACCTGCCATCTGATCTAGCATTATATAAAATTCATTTCACAATTATTTGCTCATCTAAACATGAACTGAAACCTATTTAACCATGTTATTAAAAGGTGATGACCAGTTATATTATCTATTTATTTGATATTGAGAAAGAGTCTTACTTTTACAGACCAGGCTGTCCTGGAACTCACCTGTCTGCCCCTGCCTCTGAAATGCTAGGATTAAAAGCATGCACCACCACGCCTGGCCAAACGTTACTACATTTTAAATAAATGTCTAGAAATTTTAAAATGGTGAGCTGCAATCCTCATAACTTTATTAATGAAGGTTGATCAAGAAAATCATGGTAACTTTGAATTATACCCATTCATTTTTAAACTCTCAAAATGAGCCTGGAATCTGTGCTTCCCTTTCTTCAGATGGTAGAGACCAGGGCACTGTCACTGAGTCTCACTCACTAAGTTGCCCAGGTTGGCTTTTAGCTCTGACTGATTCTTCCTCATCCTCCCAAGCAGATGGAATTATAGAGCAGTTCTCAAGTTGACTACTTGGACTTGAGAATGTCCTACAACCACACCATTAAATAGACTGCTTAACTTACACATGAAGAAAAACCAGGTGCATTGAGTAATATCTACATATTAATACAGTCTACAGTTCTAAAGTAAAAATGTAAAGCATGGGAGACAAAATGCCCCAAAGTGAAAGCTCAAAGAAAATACAGATAAATTATATGCGTGTGTATTGTGTGTATGGTTTCAGAGCCCTGCCTTTGGGATTTGAGTAGGGTCAGATGAATTATAAGCGTGTGTATTGTGTGTATATTTATGTATGGTTTCAGAGCCCTGCCTTTGGGATTTGAGTAGGGTCAGATGAATTATAAGCGTGTGTATTGTGTGTATATTTATGTATGGTTTCAGAGCCCTGCCTTTGGGATTTGAGTAGGGTCAGATGAATTATAAGCGTGTGTATTGTGTGTATATTTATGTATGGTTTCAGAGCCCTGCCTTTGGGATTTGAGTAGGGTCAGATGAATTATAAGCGTGTGTATTGTGTGTATATTTATGTATGGTTTCAGAGCCCTGCCTTTGGGATTTGAGTAGGGTCAGTGGTAGAGCACTTGCTTAGCATGCTAAGCTCCCCGTGAAAGGCACTTGCCATGCGCTGCCTCTCTTCCTCAAAGGCTCGCCTCTCTTCCTCTAAGCGACGTCTCGCTTCCTCCTCAGCTTGCTTCTTGCGATTTTCTTGTCTTTGTTGCTCCAGTTCTTCAAAGGTTAATTTCAATTTTCCAGGAAAATGGGATTCTTTTTTGGCCTCAGTTTCATCATCCTACGAAAACAAACTTGTTACCCGAAGAACAATTGCTGTTAACTAAACTTTGGATTTGTTCTTGTAAAAAAATAAATAAATAAATTACCATGACTAATGAAAGACACTTTGCTTCCTTGAGAGATGGGCACTCTTCCTCATATCTTCCTGTTTTATCATCTTCATGATTAACCCTCTCTTTCCCTTGTTCTTTCTCCAGGTCCTCAGTGTTCTTTATCTTTCCAGATGTTTTGTAGGATTTGGCAGGCACCACTGTTATAAGCAGTGAGTCATCTCCTTCCTATTTATAAGACAGATAATTAGCATCTATATTCTTAATAAAAATGCAGGTGGCAGGGTACTTCACCTCCATAAGTGGTGAATTACATTGCTGTCAAGGCTATGAAGGACAAAAAAAAAATACTTTTATTTTTTCCAACTAGTTACTCTTAAATACATCTTTCTCTGAATTCATTGTGTATTATCAATGAAGTTTACTGAGATCCATTGATAGAAGTTTCAAGAAACATTATGCATTTGGGAAGACAGAATTAATATACCCTCCCCGATTAAGTAACAAGACTGTAGTAACACAGACTTATTTTAGACAATCTGTACATTAACTGCACATGAGGTACTGTGCACGTGAGCATACTTCAAACCAATTTGATGGTGGATAGTTTTGACTTATACAATGAAATTTTCTCCACAATCTGCTTCTCCAAGTTTTTCAGCACTTAGTAAAGTAGTATTTAACGAGAAAAGCCATTGAATATTTACCTAAGTGATGTACTAACTTAGATAAAGCTGTAAAGCATTTATCTTATTAAAGTTGAAAACAAATTCTGTTTGTTAGTTTTGAGACAGGGTTTCTCTGTGTAGCCATGGTTGTCCTGGAACTTGCATATAGACCAGGCTGGCCTCGAACTCAGAGATCTACCTGCCTCTGCCTCCCAAGTGCTGGACTAAGCCACGAATCACCACACCTAGCTAGGATGCATTCTTTTAAAATTGATTTTAGTTGGCTTTACTATAGATTTATCATAACTTCTAACATTTTTCAAAAATAAAAATATGAACATGCTCCTAAAATAAAAAATTTCCAACTTTTATCTCGTAATTTTAGGCACACCATCAAATTGGTCGGTTGGATTTTAACCTTGCTAGTTAACTGGACTATGTTTTCATGGTTATCGGACATTCCTTCTTGGCGATCCATACTACCCTCTACTCTGGTGTGTGAAAACCAGAACTCGAGCTCTTAGGGACTCTGAGGAAAGACAAAAAATGATGGAAAGGAAACTGCCTTTTAAACATGTCAGTTTTTAGCAGCCCCAGACGTTAATTCAGGGAACATGGTCTTGGCAGAGTGTCCACAACAGACTCATGGGCCCTGTCTTCATGACCCAAGTGTGCAGCAGAAGCAGATCTGTCCAGTGTTTGAAAGTGCCCAAGTATGTGCTTGCCCTTGTTATTGTGAGATTTATAATCAATAGTGAAATAAAAGTTTCTGCACACCATTCTTGGATTACAAGATAACTTGTGAATCGGGTAATTTTCAGTGAATGTTTCATTAAAGGAAACGTCTGTTACCTCTGCTGCGGATTCGGTTCCCGTATTGCTTATGTCCTCAATCTATTGAATGAGAATTTCATATCGTTATATTACATTGAATTTTGTACTCGGTGCTTTTAAACATACAATTGAAAAGTAACTTCCGTATCTTCTGGTAAAATTTCAACTTTTTACTGTGAGCTTACAAGGAACAAATTTAGCAGCAATTTAAACAGATGCACACAAGTGCCCTCCATCCTCGGCCCTGCAATAGCAGAAGGAAATTCCATCACAAGCAATAAAGCGGCTGGGACCCCTAATTCTTACCCAAAAATTATCTGGCAAAAATGTAACTGATACAATAATAAAGTATGGTAGAAATATCCGCTAGATTGGAAGGGAGCTAATTCTGGTATTTATAACATTTTCTTATATTTTGGCCACACTGAATTGGGAAAACCATCTCTAAAGTTGGAGCACTTTCTCTGAAGAAACATCATTAGGTTAGCTTGATAGGCAGGCTGATATTTTAGCAACTCCTGAGAGAAAGAAAATAGGTGATTTTAACAATGCAGTGTTTGACGTTTCAGGAAAAGGCTACATTAACAGACAAGTGAGTTTCAGGACAGTCTGGATACACAGACAAACCCTATCTCAAAAAAACAAACAAACCAGCAAACAAAGAACTGTCAGAGTGAAAATTTAGTCAGGATGATTTCTGTGAGTTTGAAATGTATCAAGTTCCAGGCCAGCCAGGGCTATAGAGTGGTACCATGTCTCAAATAAAAAAATAAAATTCAAAGTAACTTATTTTTTAATAATAAATAGTTTTATCAGAGTAATTTATACTACAAAATTTAAATTTTAAGAATAACTTGTTTTATTACAGAATTATTAAACTGACTTGCTGTATAAATGGAATAGGTTTTTTTCAATGACGTATCATACTAAGTAGAATTTTAATGGCTCTCTAATAAAATAATTACAAAATGAGCTGTTTTCCAATGGACAATCGAATTCATTTCTCAATGAAAGATATCCATGACATGTGAGAAGCCAGACACTGAGAATATTGGAAAGAGAAACAATCTATTAGCCCCAGGTTTCTGTTTCCTAGAGCTCTTCCTGGTCCTCCTTATCCTCGCTAAGGTGGACAGAACCCTTTACAGGACTTTTCCATTGTTTGCTTAGATTTCTGTTGTCATCCTTTTCTTCTCTTTGCTCACTTTAAACCATTACAAAGCAATAAACACACATGGAAAATGAATTTATTTCAGGGGCTATGCTACTAGTGTAGTCAAGGGGAACAGATGTTCAGAATCCAGTTAGCATTGACTTTCACCAGCTAACATGAAAGAACTGTTTCTCATATATATATTGTATATATTTGCTTTATACAAAAGTGAATGTTTCATCCCCAGATCCCTTTCCTTGCCTCTTTTCAAGATCCTATTAACCACCAATATCTGCCCCTAAATGGATGGGCTTTAGTTTTCTATCAGGGTACCTTGAGTGTTAAACAGATAATACACCCTCAGTGTTTTCTCATACATTTTTTTTATTCTAGTATCTAATAAACTCTTTGTAAGAGCCTACACTCTTAGAAGTGGTAATATCATGGTAATTAACCATTCCCAGCTCAGGAAATCCTTTTGTATGCTGGTTTGTACAAGTAAACTGTAAACAAACATTACATTACATTGCATTAGGTCATATTAAATTTGAGTGGAAATGTACTTACGTTTTAAAATTAAACTTTTACACATTTATAAGAATAAATTAGTTATTACATTGCTGTCATAGCCTTAATTTAACAGAGCTAAAGCATCATTAGCCGGGGCTCTGTGGCACCCTACACACAGTGAGTGTTTGGTGTAAAGACACTGGCTTTTTTCATGATCATATTTTAATTTACCTTTTGAACATCCAGTCTCTATTATTATAGTCAAGCTCACAGGTTTGTTTGAGAAAACATGGCTTTTACCATTCCCTTCTTAGGTTTAAAATGGGCCAGTAGGCCTAGAAAACACCAGGGCTTTGAAAGTACAGACAAATGAAAGAAGAGTAATTCAGCATGCGAACATAGTGTGTCTCATGCATATACTTTAGTATTACTCACTTTGTAGTTTTAATATAACATAGTCATCAACCGTATCTACATATGTATACTTGTAGTAATTATACATGGAAATCATTAAAAATTCAATAGTTCTCATTTTATAATCCTATTTCTTTATAAATTTTACTGCAAAATGAAAGCTCATCTTTAATGACTGGAAGAGGCAACCCTGAAGTACATGGCATCTTTTCTCCAGATAAGGGTACCATCAAGTATAGGAAAATTCTCATTCTTCTTCACATCTAATGTGACGTGTGTCAGCATTTGTCACCAATTAAGCAGCTGTCTGTGTCACAGGAGGCTATTTGCAAACTTGGAGTTGGCAGGATGCTTTCTTTTCCTTGTCGCCCTTCTCCTTAGAGAAGCGGCAGAAGCTGGAAGGAGCACAGGACACTGATTTAACACTTGGAGTGTTGCTGTAAGGGGCTGTGGCGGCAGCTCAGAGGTTAACGGGGCACCGCTGCTCTTGCAGATGACCTGGGCTTGGTTCCTAGCACATACATGATGACGGCTCAGAACTCTCTAACTTCAGGTCCAAGGGACCCGTGCCCTCTTCTGAGCTCTGCGTGCACGTGTACACAGACACACATGCTACCAAAACATGATTTCGCATAAACATCTTTCCTAAGAATCTGTTTTATAAATGATAGCAGTTACAATTGTGCTTTATACCTTATTGTGAAAATGTCTTACGACATTGTAACATTCTCGGAGGTACCGAGCGACGCTAGGAATATAGTTTGAGGAATGTAGAAACAATTGGAAAGATCCTGGAGCAGAAGCCCTATGGTCACCCTCTTAAAATAGGCACATCCTGCCCACACTACTGCTTATCTGACGCTGAATATTTTCCAAAGATGTTTTCAGGCTAGCCACTGTTAGTAAGCTCACATTGTATTAAATATTTGAATTAGTTCTCATCCATTCTGTTAGGTCCAGAAACAAACATCAATACGGCATTTAGCATCTACCTGCTCAGCTCTTTTTGCTAATTCACGCTGTATTTTCCTCTTCTCCAACAGGTCCTGCTCAAGCCTGCGTTTTCTCTCCTCGTCTGTTCTCTTCCTTTGTTCTTCCTGCCTGTGTTTCTCCATTTCATCAAATTTACCTTTAACCGTCCCTAAGAATACACAAAAAATTGTGTGTTTTGCCTTGTTTCTTTCTCTTGCAATCCCTTTTTCGTTTACCCCTCAAGGTTCTTACCTGTTAGCTTTGGGACATAAGCTTTTTCTATTTTAGCAGAAATCTCTTCCTCATCATCTGAAGCAAGCATTTCTTTAATCTAGGTGGTTAAATAGATTAATATGAACACACATCCCAACATCAGACTAGATTATTATAGAGTAGTCCCCCCACCGCAGCTGCGAGAGAACCCACCAGGATAACCTGGATTCCTGAAACCAGAGATAATTCTGAGCCTTGTGCATGCTGTTTTTCTTGTATGAAAAATATAATATATCCATAAAAGAAAAATAATGTCATAGGTCTTATAGTTCTAAGGAACTTTACACATTAGGTATAGTAAAAATATAACAAAAAATTATAAAAATTTATAAAAATATTGTAATGCAATTTATTTAAAGCTTTTGTTTATTTCCAGAAACTTCAGTTGACTATTTAGACCATGATTGACTACAGGCAATGAAAGCAGTGGAGAGAAACTATAGAGAAGGGAGGCTGATGCACACAGTAGGGACTGTAGAGAAGGGAGGCGATGCACACAGTAGGGACTTAGAGAAGGGAGGCTGATGCACACAGTAGGGACTTAGAGAAGGGAGGCTGATGCACACAGTAGGGACTTAGAGAAGGGAGGCTGATGCACACAGTAGGGACTTAGAGAAGGAAGGCTGATGCACACAGTAGGGACTTAGAGAAGGGAAGGAAGGCTGATGCACACAGTAAGGACTTAGAGAAGGGAGGCTGATGCACACAGTGGGGACTTAGAGAAGGGAAGGAAGGCTGATGCACACAGTAGGGACTTAGAGAAGGGAAGGAAGGCTGGTGCATGGTTTAAATCAGGTTACAAATAAAACAAGCATTTTTATAGTGTATATAAAATGTTAGTGTCTATAATGCATTAAAAAGAAAATTAATATTTTCACAATAAAATAAAATGACCTCCTGCTTTCTCCTGTTCCATTCTCTCTCTCTAATATATTGTTCTTTTCTTCTTTGCTTTTCATCTCTAGACCGCCTTTGGTTTCTCTCTTCTCTGGCCTTCTGCATGGCTTCAAATTTATCCTTTACATCACCCTTGCCTAGTTTTGGCACATAGGATTTTGGAACAGGTTTAGATGAAGACAGCAGAATCTTAGTTAGAAGAAAATAAACAGAAGAAAGTTTAAAGAGAAAAGGAAATTAGATAAAGATAAGAATAAGACATTAAAATACTTACCAAAACAAAGAGGCACAAGTTTCAAACCTCTATTTGAATCATCTTAGCCTGATTAGATATTCTATAATCTGAAGTTATAGTAAGTATGAGAGCAGAAATTTTGTTAAAAATTCTTCAGAAACAAAGCCCCAATTAAAGCACATTCTACTGAATCTGAAGGCCAGGAAAATACAGAAATCAAGTGCTGAACTCTGATTACAAACTACTTGTATTTTATTTTCCTATTGTTAAGGATTCGGACTGAGGGTTGCCATCAGTCCCTGATTTAACAGGATCAATCTCAGTAAAGTGTATGAATTTGGAAACAAAGCACAAGATTAAGCCCATATTACACACATGTATTACACACATGTTCCTGCTGTTGTATTAGCGAAAGCAGGCAAAACTGAAAGCCAGGCCAACCCCACAGGAGGTGACTCACGTTTCCGGCTCTGCTGCCCAAGTGTAAGTGCCTAGAAGCTCATTAAATAAAGTGTGCAGGGCAGCTCTAAAAGGTTAGCCCTAAAGAAAGGAAATCTGGTAGGAGAGGGAGCGAGCGAGCAGCGGTTCCCCTAATCGAAAGCTAGCAGTGTAGTTCCCCTCTTCAGGAGCTAGTTCCTGAAAGAAGTTTCTGTAAAAAGAAAACTGAGTGTCAGAATGCCAAACTCTCCTCACGACAAGGACAAGCGGCTTGCTGTTCTGTGACAGATCTGGCTCATTGCTTATCTGCTGCATGTCACTGGCCCATTCAGGTTTCTTTGCCTGTCACTTTTGAGTGTCAGCATCTGGGGTCTTTCAGTCCTCAGTAACTACAGCCAAGAAGCTGAAAAGGGGTCAGTTAAGAGGCCTTAACTACAGTTTCTAGAAGATGCTAAGAGTCCTCCTTCTCAAAGTGAATTATCACCTCCAAAGGTCCCAGCCCTGGTAAAACCACATTGAAGGAGTCATTTCTAAGACCAATGTATTTAAAATTCTACGTGAGATGATAGCTTTATCCCTACACTGCCTTCCAGAAGTTCAGTACACATGCGTCCAGATTAAAGTACTGAGCCAAAACAGTGTGTGAAAGGAACGCTCTCCCATTGTACATCCGACATCACCAATTACAAACACCTACAAATGACCCTTCCCACAACCCTCCTGTCAACTACACACTGCTTGTCATGGCCTCCCTTTCCCTCTTCCTCCCCCCTTTCCAAGTCTCTTCCTGACCCCCCCACCCCCGCACCATCCCCTACACACACACACACACAGACACACAGACACACAGACACACACAGACACACACACACAAACAACACACACACACACAGACACACAGACACACAGACACACACAGACACACACACACAAACAACACACACACACACACAGACACACAGACACAGACACACAGACACAGACAGACACAGACACACACACACACACACACAGACACACACACAAACAACACACACACACAAACAGACACAGACACACACACAAACAGACACAGACACAGACACACACACACACACAGACACACTCACAGACACAGACACACACAGCTTTTGAGATATTTACTTACCTCTGCCTTTTGTGAAACGTCATTCATGTTTGCTCTATATGGTTTGGGGCTGACGCTTTGTATATTTTTGTACCTGTAAAATAATAATAACAACATTGCTGGGTGTGGTAGCATACACACCTTTTTCTGTTTATTTTTATTTTATGTTCTTTGGTGTTTTGCCTGTGTGTGTGTCTGTGAGGGCATCCGATCTTGAAGTTACAGACAGTTGTGAGCTGCCATGTGGGTGCTAGGAGTTAAACCAAGGTCCTCTGGAAGACGAGCCAGTGCTCTTAACCGCTGAGACACCTCTCCAGCCCCAGAATGCACACCTTTAATCCCAGCACTTGGGAGGCAGAGGCAGGCAGATCTCTTGGAGTTTAAGGCCAACCTGGTCTACATAAAGAGCTCCAGGTCAGCTAAGGCTACAAAGTGAGACCTTGTCTCAAAAAACAAAATAACCAAGTTAATAATGTATACGAATTTGGATAACCTTCCTTTTGATATTATTTGTATTATTTTATCAATATAAAGTTGTAAATATGCAATTTATATACTTATATAGAAATGTATAATTTTAAAATTATAAACTTCCCTTCAGAAGTTCAAATAAGTAATTTGTGGTAATCTTCGGCTCCTTTAAGATCTGTGGTACAGAAAATACGAGGGCCTTTTAGAAGGCCCGAGAGTGTATATAGCCATCGGAGCTCAATCAACCTACAAGAGCGCTTGACAAGTGTGTACTGTGTATGTCATCAGTAAAATATGAACACACTTTGATTGTACTATAGTCTTTAAAACTGCCCTCTCAGGTTGCTGGTGGTGTATACCTTCAATCCCACCGAACAATAGTAGCCTGTTATATATTTGTCTATTTAACTAATGAAACACATTTTGGTTATGCCTGTTTGGGCTATTGTAAATAAAACTGATATTAAACATCCATGCACAGCTTTGCATGGACAAAGCTTTTCAAATCCCTCAGAATAAATACTGAGTCTTGATTGCTGGACGGCATAGTAAGAACTCGTTTAGCGTAGTCAAATGGCAAACTGACTTTCAAAGTGGTGCAAGTTGTTGCATGCCCGCCAGCAATGTAGGAGGGTTTGGGTGGTTCTCTCCTTGATGCCAGTGTTCTGGGTTGTGCCTATTGTAGTACTGAATGCTATCTCATCTTAATTTGCATTTCTGGTACTATATGATACATTTTCCATATGCTCACATTCCACGGGCTTATCTTCTTTAGTGAGATGTCTGTAGTCTTTCCTGATTTGCGAGAGAGTTTGTTTGTTATGTGTCTGAGGCAAGGTCTCACTATGTAGCTAAGGCTGGCCTGGAACTTTTGATGCCCTCGTCTACCTCCTAATGCTGAGAGTATAGGCATGGCCACCATGCCCATAACAGGACAATGACTAGTCCATGACAGCATAGAAACTTAGGTTCCATTCATTACTGGTATTGGTTAGACATCTACCCCATGCTGGGCTTGCTCTAGGAGATGCTGAGGAACGGAAGCCTGAGTAGACCAGGCACTGTCCCTGTCCTCCTCCTCTTAACAAATGCTCCAGCCCAGCTACAACAGGAGCGGAGGGCAGTGTGCTCAGTCAGAGGCCTAGAGACCTGCACTCTGCACTGACGGTCAGCACTCTCGCTTCCAAACCTGGCGTGCTTTGTGTTTCCTGTCTAGGTTACAGGGGATCGTTGCTTTCTGGAGCCACCTTTCAACTACGATTAAAATAAACCCCATCCTGGAAGTCTTAACAACATTCAGGTAGAAACTGACAGGTCTCAGGAATCTTCTTTGATTCCATTTCTCATCCTTGGTAGGAGTTGGGGCGCATGCAAACGTGAGTGTGTGTGCACACACCTGTGCAGAAACACGCATGGTGTCTATGTCTCTTATTGAACTTTGAGCACACTGACTCGGCAGTGCTGGCCGGGGACCCACCCGCTTCTCTGCTGGGACTTGGGGTGTCGTGTGCACTTTTTATGTGGGTGTCAGGGATCCAAACTCAAGCCTTCACTTTTGTGCAGCAAGTGCTCTCTGGCTGAGCCATCTCTATAGCCATCAGCTGCCATTCTCATTGTAAACTATCGGGACAGCATTTTTAAAGCAGTCTTTTGGGGCCCTATTCTCAGATCCCCAGTGTCACGCATTAACCCCACGCAACTTTGGTACAATATTCCCATCTCAGTAGTGAGGCAATGGTGGCAATCTGGCTCATTTCACCACGTTCTCTGCTTGTGCACATTACCGCAATGGTCTCAGGATGTTTTCTGCTTGTGCACATTACCGCCAATGGTCTTGGGGAGGAGTTTGTTTTCTTTTGCAGGGAGCTTCTCCCCAGTTCAACACAACCATGCTTACCAGAAATACAGTATTTCTCTACGTCCTACAGATGGGTAGTATCCATTTTAACAGTTTACTTTCCTTCACAACCCTGGCAACTATTTTCAAATTATCAACTCCTTTTCAAGAGGTGCCAGGATGCAAGGAAAGCATACTCACTTCCACTCCCAACAGGGCTCCCGTTATCTATGCAAGGTGTCTAACTAATATGGATTACCAGCAGGACAGCTGTAAGTGTAAATTCTTGGTACTAGCGTCTAGAAGTTCCACCGTAATGCCATCTATGGCTCTTCTGGTCTGTCTCTAGCGACAGACTGTGTCCAGGTTCTCATGCAGCCCCCACCCCGTGTGCGTGCGTGCGTGCGTGCGTGCGTGCGTGCGTGCGTGCGTGCGCGCGTGCGTGTGAGTGTGTGTGTGGGGGGTGCTTGCGGGGGTGGGGGTGCGAGCGTGTGTGGGTGTGTGTGTGTGTGTGTGTGCGCGCGCGCGCGTGCGTGCGTGCGTGCGTGCGCGCGTGCGTGTGAGTGTGTGTGTGTGGGGGGTGCGTGCGTGCGTGCGTGTGTGTGTGTGTGCGTGCGTGCGTGCGTGTGTGTGTGTGTGTGTGTGTGTGTGTGTAACTTGTCGCAGGTTCCAACAGGGACCAGCTTGTCTGATAAAATACAGTCTGCTTCACAGACTTGTGTATCATGTATTTCAGCACCGCTTGTCCTACAGACACCTCTACTTCAGACATGCGTCCTTAGTCAGTCACCACACCACACCTGCTCACAATGCATGCAGCACCCTCCTATCCAATCATGTCCCTGCCATGCAAAGGACTGATTAACCACTCAAAAGAGTTGATAAGTCTCACTTGATGACATCATAAAGTAAACAATGAAAAGGTCCTCAAAAAATAGAAAACAAGAAGTCAGGGTCTCTCTACACCGTCCTGGCTGTGCTGGAACTCACAGCCCTGATTTTGAACTCTTGGCTCTGCAGTTGAAAGCACCGTCTCCTCCTGCAGAGGACCCAGGTTCAGTTCCCAGCACCCACATGGCTGCCTTGAACCATCTGTTAACTCCGGTTTCTGCAAACACCAGGCATGTACACGGTGCACAGACATACATGTAGGCAAAATGCTCGCATACATGAAATAAAACAAATAAATCTTTAAAGAACTGATAAATATGTAAATCCAGAAATGTTTGCTGAGCATCTTTTGGCTGCTAGGGTCAGTCCCTGCTCCTATTATACGGTGACAAACTCAAAGTCCCGACAGGATACCACAGAAATAAATATAAAATTTACTGATTCACGTATCTGCATATGAATCTGGGCATGCCTGTGCCACAGGACACATCTACAGGTCAAAGGTCAGTTCTGAGGAATCAGCTCTCCTAATACCATGTGGCTCTCAAGCGTGGCACGCAGGTCCCCGGGCGTGGCTGTGAGCACCCTTATCTGCTGAGCCATCTCTCTAGCCACTTTCTGTTCTGAGATCAGAAACTGCGTTAATAATAGAAAGACATCAAAGTGAATCTCTGCCTGAAGGAGGGGTTTGAATATCTGCGGCTCGGGGCTCAAGCACAGGCCTGAT